AGGTTTTTAGCTTACTGATTCTATCCCCCCGCTACAATATGTCTGTTAAGGTTTTCTATTTCTTCCTGATTTGGTTTGTAGATTGTGTTTCTAAGAATGTATTCATCTTATCTAGGTTATCCAATTTGTTGGCATCCGTTTGTTTATAGTATTCCCTGATAATGCTTTTTTCTGTGGCATCAGTTGTTAGGTCCTCACTTTCATTTCTGATTTTAATTTTGAGAATCCTCTTTTTTTTTTTTTTTTGGTCAGTCTAGCCAACGGTTTATCAATTTTGCTGATCTTTTGGACAAACCATCTCTTGGTTTTGTTAATTTTCTCTGTTTTTTAATTCTGTTTCATTTATGGCTGCTCTAATCTTTACTTTCTAATTAATTAATTATTTACTTATTTTTTTGAGATGAGGTCTCGCTCTGTCACCTAGGCTGAAGTGCAGTGGTATAGTCTCAGCTCACTGCCAAGATCACTGCCAGAACCTCTCTACCGATTCTCCCGCCTGTCTCCAAAGTAGCTGGGATTACAGGCATCTACTATCATGCCGGCTAATTTTTGTGTTTTAGTAGAGTTGAGGTTTCACCATGTTGGCCAGGCATGTCTTGAACTGCTGACCTCTGGTGATCTGCCTGCCTCAGCCTCTCAAAGTGCTGGGATTACAGGTGTGAGCCACCATGCCCAGTCTAATTTTTAATATTTCCTTCTTTCTGCTAGCTGTGGATTTCGTTTGTTCTTCTTTCTCTAGTTTGTTAGGGTGTGCCGGTAGCTTTCTTATTTTCTTGGGATCTTTCTTATTTTAATGTAAGCATTTTCAGCTGTAAGTTCCTTCCTAATACTGCTTTTGTAGCATCCTATAGGTTTGGCCATGCGTGTTTTTGTTTTCATTTAACTCAATATATTTTCTAATTTCCCTGGAGATTTCTTCTTTGACTCATGGGTTAAGAGTATGTTAAGACTCATTTTTGTGGATTTTCTAATTTTCCTTCTGCTGTTGATTTTTTGTTTCATTCCATTGTGACTGAGAAAGATGCTTCGTATGATTTTTTTCTTTTTTTTTTTTGAGACGGAGTTTCGCTCTTGTTACCCAGGCTGGAGTGCAATGGCGCAATCTCGGCTCACCGCAACCTCCGCCTCCTGGGTTCAGGCAATTCTCCTGCCTCGGCCTTCCAAGTAGCTGGGATTACAGGCATGCGCCACCATGCCCAGCTAATTTTTTGTATTTTTAGTAGGACGGGTTTCACCATATTGACCAGGATGGTCTCGATCTCTTGACCTCGTAATCCACCTGCCTCGGCCTCCCAAAGTGCTGGGATTACAGGCGTGAGCCACCGCGCCTGGCCCGATTTCATTTTTTAAAAGTTAGAATGACTAGTTTTGCATCCTAATATATTCTCTCTCCTGGAGGATGTTCCATGTACAGTTGAGAAAAGTGGGCATCCTGCTGTTACTGAGTGGAGTGTCTGTACATGTCTGTTAAGTCCAATTGTTGGTTTGCAGTGTTGCTCAAGGCCTCTGTTTCCTTATTGATACTCTATCTGGTTTCTATTGACTTACCTTTTAATGAAATCCTTCTGGCTGCATTAAACTGAGTTTCTTAGAAGTGGATACAGGGAGACCAGTAAGAGTCTACAGCATTGATTCTGGGGAGAGGTGATGGTGACTTGGACCGGGGAGGTAGTAGTGGGGAGGCTGAGAAATGGTTGGAATCAGAGGACATTTTGAAGGTACAGCCAACATATTTGATGGAATCTTTAGAAGTTGGTACTGTCATCCTAAGGAGGTAAAGGAATTTGCCCAAGGTCTGATAAATGGCTCATCCAGGATTTGAACCCAGGTCTGTCTGCTCCAGATTCTCAGTTCTTAATTAACCATGTACTTTCCTGAAAGTGCTCCTGATCCAGTTGCCTGGACTCTCCACCTGCAGTGCCTCCCTGACAGTCCTCTACCATCTGAACTCACTCCTTCTGCTGCTATGTTCCCAAATGTCATCAGGGTCTGCTTGGCAGTTTCTCAGCATCAGCACGTCCTGCCTTAGAGGAGCAAAGAAAAGAAGGAGGCAGATTCCTGCAGAGGGGAGAGAGGTGTGCAAATGCTCTGAGACCACGTGGGCTTCATGACATGTTATAGAAGGAGCTCAGCCCCTGGAGTCAGACAAACCTGGGTCCAAGCCCCGAATCCACTCCTCGACAGCTGTGTGACCCCAGGCAGATTACGCCACCTCTCTGGGCCTCTGTTTCCTCCCTTGACAAATAGGGATAATAATGTTCCTCTCCATTATCTACAACTATGATTATAAGAAAATGTTCTTTTTTCAAATAAAATATTCTACCAAAGGTTGAGGTCAATCACGATTCTTGGAGCCATTCATTTTTCAAAGAGAACTTTATTGAGCACACACCCTGTGCCGGACCTCGAAGTAGTTGTTGGCACCATAGCCGTAAAGCAAAGAAACACAGAATGCTTGCCCTCGTGGCGATCAGAGCCTGGCAGGGAAAACAGGTTGCTGACCAAATGTTATATATCTGATGGGTGCTTCAAAAGCAGCTTCTCTAGGAACCCAAGCAGGGGAATTTGATGTCCTGAACAGGAAACCTTCCAGCCAGGGCCAAAATAATGGTGACGGGGGGCCAGATAAGGTTTCAGGCAGAGGTGATGACCTGCATGCAGCCGACATGCCAGGCCCCGTGCTCTGCACATGATGATCATTATCTTATGCAGTCTTCTCAAGCGCCTTGAGGCTGGTGCTATTTCTATAACCTTTTTAACCAAGGAGAAAACTAGGGTTCAGAGACGTGACATGATTTGCCTGAGGAAACACAGCTAATAGTGGGAGGAGCCAAGATACGGCCTTGGGAGCCACGATGGGAGGAAAAAAAAAGATGTTTGAATTTCTGCTCTGCTCTTTCCTACTGTGTGACCTTGGGTGGGCCAGTTTGCCTCCATAAGACTCAGTTTCCATATCTGTAAAATGAAGCCAATTTCCTGGGCCTCCCTAGATAGTTTTCAGGCTTAGAAATGCTGCAGGCAGCCCCCAGCTTGGAGTTGGTAGAGCACTGAGGTCGGGAGCTGTTCATGGTGCTGATGCTGAATTGGTTGTGTTGGGTAGGGGTGCTGAGCCAGCTCTGTGGGGGACACTGCCATGTGTTTCTGCAGAGAAGGTGGACAGGGATTCACTGAACTCTGTGTTCATCTCCAGGAGGTAACCAGAAGGCAGGGAGAGAGGGGGCAGTGAGGGTCTGGGACAGCTCTCAGATGGATGCATGAATGTGCTGGCGTGGTAGAGTCTGGATGGGCCACAGGACAGTGGGAAAGGGTGTGGGGACCCATTGAGTGGGGGTAATTTAGAACTTTGCTTTGTTTACCCCAACGTCAGAACCTCAGGGTGATGCACAGCTGAAACAGGCCTTTGGGGTTGTCTTTTCCAACCTCCTCAACCTCAAAGTGGGGAAACTGAGGCCCAGAGAGGAGAGGGTCTTTGCTTAAATCCCACAATAAGTCTGGGCAGAATTGGGCCCAGAATCCAGTGGAAAAGGAGGGTATTCAGGCTGCCAAGGCACAGCTGCCCTTCCACGCTGTGTCCCCATGCCTGGAACAATAGAGGCACTCAGGTGAGAGTTGTTGAGCAAGTGAGTGCGCTGGGAACAGCACACAGCCTGGGTGTCTGTCCTGAGCTGGAACCTGTGACAGCCAGAGCTGCCTCCTGGGCAAGTGCCTTTGCTTTGCTAAGCATCTGTTTCTTAAAATAAGATCAGAAACCCACTTGGGAGGTGTCCAAGCAGGGATCTGAACTCAGGTCTACCTGATTGCAGGGCAGGCTTTTTACCCTGCATCCTCCTGATTCCTTATATATCTCATTTATTCATTCATACGCGGATTCATTTATTCATTCAGTCATTTAGAAAATGTAGATTGAGCATCTGCTCTGTGCCAGGCACTGTTCTAGGCTGTGCATATTCAGCAGTGAATGGGGCAGATGAAGTTTCTGCCCTTGTGGAACTTAAATTCTAGAGGAGAGAGACAGATAGTCAACAAATCAACAAATAGAATGGGAATAGTAGTAGGTTGGGTGCAGAGGTTCACAACTGTAATCCCAGCACTTTGGGAGGCCGAGGCGGGCGCATAACTCGAGACCAGCCTGGCCAACATGTTGAAACCCCGCCTCTATGAAAAATAGAAAAATCAGCGAGATGTGGTAGCATCTGCCTGTAAACCTAGCTACTCGGTAGGTGGGGGCAGGAGAATGGCTTAAACCTAGGAGGTGGAGGTTTCAGTGAGCCAAGATCATGCCACTGCACTCCAGCCTGCAAGAATGAGACTTTGTCTCAAACGAAAAAAAAAGAAGGAGGCCGGGTGCGGTGGCTCATGCCTGTAAACCCAGCAGTTTGGGAAGCCACAGTGGGCGGATCACCTGTGATCAGGGGTTCGAGACCAGCCTGACCAACATGGAGAAACCCTGTCTCTACTCAAAATACAAAATTGCCAGGCGTGGTGGTGCATGTCTGTAATCCCAGCTACTCGGGAGACTGAGGCAGGAGAACTGCTTGAATCTGGGAGGCAGAGATTGAAGTGAGCTGAGATCGTGCCATTGCACTCCAGCCTGGACAACAAGAGTGAAACTCTGTCTCAATAAATAAATAAATAAAAAGAATGGGAATAGTGGTGAGTGCCCTACAGGGAGTAAAATAAGGGATGGGATTGGGGAGGGGACGCCTTAGACAATGTGGTCAGGAAAGGAGATGACGTTTTTATGTGACACCTGAGAGAAGCAGGAGCCCGCTGTGCAAAGAATCTGAACAAATAATTGAGAAAATGGGAAGCATGTGGCTGTGACAGTCCTCAGACCTACAGAAGACAAGGCGAGGAGGTGGGAAGGAAAGCAGCTATGAAAACATCCCAAACAGCCCGAAAAGCCTTGTGGGGAGCAATGCAGCTCTTTTGGGGCACCTACACCCAGGTTACCTTGGTCACGTTGGACCTCTTCCCCTCCGGCCACCTCTGCCTTCCAGGTGAAGCAGATCATGGAGGAGGCTGTGACACGCAAGTTTGTCCACGAAGACAGCAGCCACATCATCTCCTTCTGTGGTGAGTCTGTGGCCTGGGCAAGTGGCTTCTTTCTCTCTGAGCTGCCTCAGGGAAGTGGCGTCTTTGAGCCAGTATTTGCCTTTATAACTCAGAAGTTATTTTTGGATTCCGGATGGGAGACTCCATTGGAGAATTTGAAAATACAGAACAGTGTAGAGAAACAATTAAAACTAACTTCTTTACCCCATGAAGAGGTCAGTGTGGTTAACACTGTAGGGGTTGTCTTCCCTCCCCCTGGGCAATGTTCACACCGGCCACGCTCCAAGTGACACGCTGTCTTGTATGTCAAGACATACATCTGAGGAATGGGCTCCTGTCCCTCACTCTGCCTGCGGCTATTGCTAGGTAAAGGGAGAGGGTAGATGGGGACTTTTTTAAAAAAGGGAACTATGAGCCCTTGACACATTCTAAAGGGTGACATCCATCTGGCTCAGCAAAGGATGCAGGCCCAGGGCTCAGGGCGTGACTCAGCCATGTCTCCTTGAACCAGCTCTGCTCGCAAGCTTCCAGAAATAACCCCATGGCCAGGCTCTTGCTGTACCTTGAGAATAGCTGGGGATGTGTTCTGAGTGTCCCTGGGGTTAGGATAATCTGTGTACATAGAAGTTGGAGTTGGATTTTAATTTAATAATTGGAATGTCTCATAATGAAGGACATGTTCCAATTCCCCTCCTGTGATCTTGGTCCTGTGGAGAGGCCTGAGCTAGAAGAGCTGGTCAGCCTATCAGCTGCTGTCCAAATGGCTGGGGGCACCACCCCACGGGGCCCACAGCATGCTGAGCACACACTGTGACCCAGGAGGCCATGGGCCTCAGTTCACCCCCTTTTCTGACAGGAGACCTGGACTCACCTCTGCTGCTTTCTCTTAATTGACCTTGAGCAAGATCTTTTTTTTTTTTTGAGACAAGGTCTCACTCTGTCACCCAGGGTGGAGTGCAGTGGTGCAGTCACAGCTCACTGCAGCCTCAACCTCCTGGGCTTCAGCATTCCTCCCACCTCAGCTTCCCGAGTAGCTGGGACCACAGGTAGGTGCCTCCATGCCTGGCTAATGTTTAAATTTTCCGTAAAGATGGAGTCTTGCTATGTTGTCAGGGCTGGTCTCAGATTTCTCGGTTCAAGCAAACCTCTCTCCTTGCCTCCCAAAGTGAAGATCTTATTTTTTTAAGTGGGATGTCTTTATTTAAACATAAAGCTACACACACATACACACCACACATAAAATTACATACATATATGTATGTGTATGTATACCTATATGCATTCCCAGCTTTGAATTTTTTCCTTAATATTTTTATTTTCAAATAAAGTCATATGCATGTCCATGTTAAGACTTGGTAGCATACCTACCAATTAAAGACTTAGAGGAATAAAAGTGATAAAATATTATAATAATTCTCTAGCTCTATTCAAAATATTTGGGTGGGAGAAAGGTGATGGCACTAAATGAAGCCTAAAGAATCTCCCTGAGGTTTCTTTTCTCCATTGCTTCTTATAAGCCATTATCAGAAAGAATTAAACAGTGTCTCCAAAGCCTGAATAGAAAGTTAACTTACATCAACATACACACATGAAAAGTACTGCATATGGACCGGGCATGGTGGCTCACACCTGTAATCTCAGCATTTTGAGAGGCCGAGGTGGGTGGATCACGAGGTCAGGAATTCAAGACCAGCCTGGGCAAGATGGTGAAACTCCATCTCTACTAAAAATGCAAAAAATGAGCTGGGCGTGGTGGCACGTGCCTGTAATCCCAGCTACTTGAGAGGCTGAGGCAGAGAATTGTTTGAACTGGGGAGGTGGAGGTTGCAGTGAGCTGAGATCATGCCAGTGCACTCCAGCCTGGGCGACAGAGCAAGACTCCGTCTCAAAAAAAAAAAAAAAAAAAAAAAGTACTGCATATGTAAATTAAAAATAAGATATCTAAGAGATCATCTCCTGGAATATTTTAAATCCATGGGCAGATTAGGCAGTATTTGACCATTCATGCAAAACAAAGTATTTGGTAATTCAAAACAAAACAAAAAACCAGAAACAAAGTGATGAGACCCTAACTTCTCATTCCTCCTTGCACGTAGCATAACCTTGGTCAAGCTCGTCCCCCTAGAGCACTGCTCTTTAGAGCTGACATTTCATGTAAAGAGCTTACATTTAATTTTGTCACAAGAATTGGGAAAGGTAAATCTCAACAGTTATCCGACACCCATCAGGTGCCTAGTAAGAAGTACTTATGTAGTAGCTTTCAATAAACACCGATTACGTAACCTGTACAAGTGTGAGCTCCTGGTCTCTGGGGTAAGACAGAAGGTAGGAAGATCGAGTGGGCTCTCCACGGTTCCTGTGTCTGACAGAAGCTCTGGGCCATGCTGGGTGCTGGGAAGCGTGGGCAGGGCAGGGCCTGCTGACTGCCGTGTCCCCGCAGCGGCTGTGGAGGCTTGCGTCCTGCACGGGCTTCGGCGGCGGGCGGCCGGCTTCCTGCGCAGCAACAAGATCGCAGCTCTCTTTATGAAAGTGGGCAAGAGCTTCCCGCCGGCTGAGGATCTGAGCCGCAAGGTGCAAGACCTGGAGCAGCTGATCGAGAGCGCGTGAGTGCAAAGCACAGGGCGCAGGTGGGAGCAACTTCCCAGAGAATAGGCCACAGTCCTCCCCCGGCCCTGAGAGAGCCCGTACCCCCCATCACTCTCTTCACTCTCCATCCTGCTCCTTAAACCCACCAGACTCTTTCCCACCCCGGGTCTTTGCATGTGCTGCGCCCTCCACCAGGCTCACCCATCTGATTGTCTGTAGCTGCTTTCTTGTCATTATTCAGACTTTATGTTAGCTCAGAAAATTCCAGTCCTCACCCCATCTTCTCTTCCGTATCACCCTGTTTATTTTCCTCCCAGTTGTTATTGACTGACCATCTGTAGTTACTCATGTAAGGTTTATTTGATTGTTTTCTGTCTGTCCCACTTGACACTGAACTCCATGAGAGCAGGCAACTAGATCTGTTTTTCCCCATTCTGTCGCAAGCATCTGGGACAGTGTCTAGAACCTAGTACATGCCCAAAGAGCAATGGTTGAGTGAGTGCCTACTGGGAGCCATAGCCTGTTCTAAATGCAGCATAGCCAGAGTTTGGTGGAACCAGTATGGACTCTGTCTGCATGGAAGCTGCCCACCTTGTCCCCACTTGCCATCAAGTGGCTCCCCATCATATCACTGTCTGATATGACTCAAGGGCCTCATAGCAGTAGGCATATTATATCACATTCCAATACACTGATTAGAAGTTTAAAAAAAACCCTCATAATAAAGTAACCTTTGAAGAGAGGTGGCTTCCCTCCCTCGTCGTGGTGGCTGGTGGTGTGTGTTGTGGGGAGGCTCATGGACGGAGTGTGTGCGTGTGAGCACCTTCAGCCAGAGCCACTCCCTGGGAGGTCCTGACTGTACAGCCAACCCCACTGTCTACAGCCTGGTCAGGGATGACAAATTTGGTTTCAACTCCTGGCAACAAATGTGGTGCTGGTGGCTTTCCAGAGGAATGTGCTGTGATTTTGAAGCTGTGATCGGGGGTCCTGGGGAAAAGCACATGGATCGATTGGTCATATCTGTCAAGGGCAAAGGCAGGGAAGACACAAGCATGTCAGATGTTTGCAGTCTCTGCTGTGGGCGGTCACTCCACTTCACTGGATGAGAATGGCCCTTGGCTTTCAGGCCCTGCCTGCCCAGGGCTACTGGCCAGAACTGTATGGTGGTCAGAGCCCAGGATTTGGCCCTGCCAACTCCCATTTGGAATAACTTCTCAGCCAGCTGGTCTTTGGGTACCTTCCAGTTCATCTGCTAAGTTCCCAGGTGTTTGCAGATAACTTCTTAAAGGGTTAGATTTGTCATGGGCCTTCCACAACACTGGGAGTGACCGCCTAATGGAGGAATTAGAGATGCATTTATTCATATATGCAATCATTCATTCATGAACATTTACTAAGCCTCCTCTGTACGTCAGCCACTGTGCTGGGCCCTGCAGATACAGGCATGAAGAGGGCCCATGCTTGCCACATGGCAGCCTCTCAGTAAGTATTTTATTTTTTTTTTAAATGAGTTTTCTATTTCATATCCTCAAGATTACAGTGTGGAAGGGAAGACAGAAAAGTGAGCAGAGGCAGCTGCAGAGGCAGACAGCTGCAGAGGCAGACAGCACAGACCAGCTTTGGTTGGTCCAAGAGGGCTTCCTGTATGTAGTAGTTGAAGCCCTCGCTGAGACCTGAAGAGGGATCAGCCTGGGAGTGGGTAGGAAAGGAACCAGGAAGAAGTAGCAGCCCAGGGAAAGGCTTCAGATGAGACGCTGGTGGCCTCAGGCATCTGCACATATCTCTGGCTGAATCGTGAAGTCAGAAGGGTTAGTGGTAAGGAGATTGCTGGAGAGGTGAGTGGGGCAAGGTCTTGGAGCTCTCTGCCTGTCATGTTGAAGAGCTTGCTTCCCAAGGGCACTGGGGAGCCACTGAAGGATCTACACTTGACTCTTCTTGGCCAGCACTCCTTTCCAGGAGAGATGAGGGGATATCAGTATGAGAATCTGTCTTGCCCATTGGCAGGGTAGGAAACACATGTGCACACTCACCTGGTATTATTATTTTTTCAACTCCTGACCAGCTTGCTAGCAGCAATGTGGGCTCTTGTTGTTTAGCTGCCATTCCTTCATTTCCCTGAGAGAATCTCTCATTTGCCTATTGGTCCTGTGGATTTACTCTTGTGAGTATCTATTCCCCTCCTTTATTGGTCTTGAAGGAGAAACCAGATCCAGGGCCTCCAGGAGAATGTGCGGAAGCTGCCAAAGCTGCCCAACTTGTCCCCGCTTGCCATCAAGCATCTGTGGATTCGCACGGCCTTGTTTGAGAAGGTCCTGGACAAAATCGTGCATTACCTTGTGGAAAACAGCAGGTGAGAGGGAAAGACCCGACACCTGACCATGCTCTGCCTCCACCTATTGGCCGTCATGGGAATTGCACCCCCGGCACAAGCTGCTTTTTTTCCTTGGCAGCCACTAAGTTTGATGAAAGTGATTACATGCTTGGAACCTTGGGAAGATTCGTGAGCTTAATGGCAGTGCAGGGTCTTCGAAGCATAGGGATACTGGGTTTTTTCCTTCTCCTGTGGATTACTCCACTCAATAACTGTGTGGCCCTAGAGAATCGCTTAGCCTCTCCGTGCCTGTTGTCTCTTTTGCTAAATGACATGGAGATTCCTGATACTCCCAAAAAGTGAGAAGGGAATTTGGTGAACATGCAGCATTTTGAAAATGCATGGTGAACCTTTTCACATTTTCTCCACTAGCTTAATCTGATGTGAAAGTTTTATAGTATGAGCCCTCTTGGGTAAGCATTCATGTGTGCATTCATCCATCCAGCAAATATTTAATGAGCATCTGCTGTGTTCTGGCACTAACCTAGATGTCAGGGATACAGTGGTGATGCCTGTCATGTTGTAGAGCTTGTACATCATCTCAAGAGCAGTGAGGAACCATGGCGGAATTTATTATGATACACCTCAAGGCCAATATGCCTCTCCTGCCCCCAAGAGCAGGAAGGGAGAGAGAGAGAGAGAAAGGAACAAGTGTCTTAGAATCTCCCCATCTTTCAGAATATGAAAATGCTGGATTAACCACATCTTTACAAAGTGGATGCTTTTATTATTATTCTTTGCCCCTTTGCAAGGAAAATCTCCATGAAAGTGGAGAGAAAAGTCCCTCTTCTCATGAAGTTCAGGTGCTTGCAGGGAACACCAGCACACAGTCATGGTGATAATACGTGATGGGTGTTCCAAGGGGGTGTGGTGGTGTTGTTTTCTCCTGGTGGTCAGAGAAGGTGTCCCAGATGGTGCAACCATTTTTTATTTTTTTTCTGTGTTTCGTTCTTGTTACCCAGGCTGGAGTGCAATGGCGTGATCTCGGCTCACGCAACCTCTGCCTCCTGGGTTCAGGCAATTCTCCTGCCTCAGCCTCTTGAGTAGCTGGGATTACAGGCACACACCACCATGCCCAGCTAATTTTTTGTATTTTTAGTAGAGATGGGGTTTCACCATGTTGACCAGGATGGTCTCGATCTCTTGACCTCGTGATCCACCTGCTTCAGCCTCCCAAAGTGCTGGGATTACAGGTGTGAGCCACCATGCCCGGCGGTGCAACCATTAAGCTTCCATTTGAAGATCATGCAGGCATCAGCCAGATGATGGGATGAGCAACGAAATGTTTCCGGTAGAGGAAATACAGGTGCAGAGCCTCATGGCAGGAGAGAAACTGCAAGAAATCTAAGCTCTGGATCTCCAAGCGGGGGGGTCACTTGAGCCCAGGAATTCAAGACCAACCTTGGCAACATAATGAGACCCTGTCTCTACAAAAAATTAAAAAAATTAGCCAGGTGTGGTGGTGCATGGCTCTAGACCCAGCTGATCAGGGCTGAAGTGGAAGGATCGTTTGAGCCCAGGAGTTTGAGGTTACAGTGTACTTTGATTGTGCCACTGCACTCCAGCCTGGGCAATAGAGAAAAACCTTATCTCAAAAAAAAAGTCTTTCTGTCAGCCCTATGAGCTGTTACTATTATCCCCATTTTACAGATGGGGCAGCTGAGGCTCTGAGTGGTAACTGAATGACACTTGGGATTGAACTCCGGTCTGTGGATTGTAAGTCCTCTGCTGGTCTCCATTCAAACCTGCATATTCTCTCTTCTTGCTAGTAAATACTATGAGAAGGAAGCTCTCCTGATGGACCCTGTGGATGGCCCCATCCTTGCGTCTTTGTTGGGTAAGTGGTTCTGTGCACTGAGCTTCATCTAGACTCTTGGTCTTGAGTCTCAGGGGCACCTCCTCAGGGACTCTCACCCCTGTCCAGCCTCACCCATTGAAACGCAGCACTGTCCTAGCTGACTGAATGGGAGGGTAGTGAGATGGGCAGCCACCTGGTGGGCAGTGAGTGGGAGGACTTTCCGCCACAGTGGGTTCCCAGCCCCCACATGCCCCTCAGTGGGGCCCTGTGCCCTAGAATACACCAAGATGAAGACTGCAGATCACTTCTGGACCGACCCCTCGGCCGATGAACTTGTCCAGAGGCACCGCATTCACAGCTCCCACGTGCGGCAGGACTCGCCCACCAAGCGTCCTGCCCTCTGCGTGAGTGGGGTGGATGGTGGGACTGTGGGAGGGACCTCGCATGGGGGCAGGAAACAGGGTAGGAGCCCTCAGGGTCACTGCAGGCCTCATCCCTCTCTTTCCCCTCACGCTCTACCAGATCCAGAAGAGGCATTCCAGTGGCAGCATGGACGACCGGCCATCTCTCTCTGCCCGCGACTACGTGGAGTCCCTGCATCAGAACTCCCGTGCCACCCTGCTCTATGGCAAAAACAACGTTCTGGTTCAGCCGGTGAGAGGTTATCTTGGGCCCAGATCTTGCACTGAGAGTCTCACTCCAGGCTATAGAGGATGAAGTCCCTCTGGCTCCAGGTTGCCAGTTCATTCTCCATCTGTCCACTCACCCATGCACACATCCACCCAGGCAACACTTATTCAAGTTGTCCATCTATATTTACACCCACTCGTCCTTACATCCATCCATCCACCTGTCGTCACATCCATCCACCCATCGTCACATCCATCCATCCACCCATCGTCACATCCATCCATCCACCCGTCGTCACATCCATCCATCCATCCATCCATCCATCCATCCATCCATCCATCTGTCCCTTTATTTTCCGATCCATCTCTTCACTCACCTGCATACCCAGGCTTTTGTCTGTTCACTGTCTTCTCACTCACTGATTTCAGCAACCATTTCCATGGACCTGCTATGTGCTGGGTGCATATGATGTCAAGATCTTCATTCTCATGGCCAGTATTTCTTGATACTTCCTATGTGTCATGCACGGTGCAAAGTGTTTTCAACTGTATTAACTCTTAAACTTCCCAACGACCCTTTGAGGCAGGTACTGTTTTTACAGGCCCCAGTATTATCAGATGGTAATACTGAGGCCTGGACAGGGGAAATAAGGTGCAGACAGTTATGATTTGAATTCGGGCCAGCTGATGCCAGAGTCAGTGCCATCACTCAGTCACCTTCTCTGCCCCATCGTGCAGCTGGGCTCCAAGGATGAGTGGTAGGCGAGGCATATGTGGTTCCTGCCTTCATGCAGTGTCTCCTTCGGCTGTCCCCTGCCCGGGGCCATTGTGGTATTTGGGCTCAGTGGGAGGAAGCAAAAGGAAAACCATCAGCTGCTTCATCTCTGTGGTCACAGTTTTAATCACTGGGTGATGTTGAGCAAGTCACTTTTCCCTCTAAACCTCCGTATCTGCGTCACAGTGGGTCCAAAACCCTATTGCCACAAATCTAAGAAGCCAAGACACTAATTTATGATCTACCATTTCTTAACGTAATCTCAAACAATTCAAAATGCTATTTAGATTATATACAATTTTTTTTTTTTTTGCTACTTAGAAATTTTAGCCTATACTTTTCGAAAGAGGTCTTTGAAACTTACATGGATGTAGTTTTGTTTTTTAATCTATATCACTTTTATAAGTAACACAAAGGGAAAATACCATTGAAATACGCTAAAATAGTCTTCGAACTTCTTCAGTTCAGAGTTCCATCTTCTCTATCATTTTTTGATGTAGAGTCATCAGTGCCTGCATTTTCCCATACGTCATTTTCTGTTCCATCAGGAGAAGGAGTTAGCAATCATCTGTGGGCCAAATGTGGCCCTCCACTTGTTTTTAACAATCAAGTTTTATTGGAACACAGCTACAACCTATGACTGCTTTCAGGCCTTGCTAGCAGAGTTGAGTGGTTGCAGCTGAGCTTGTGTAGCTTACAAAACCAAAAAATATTCCCTATTTGTCCCTTTACACAAAACGTTTGGTGGCCTCTGACCCAGGAGCACCGGAAGTACAGCATTTCTTGCAAGAATGTCCACTCTCATCTCAGGGATGATTATTTTTTGTTTTTTGGTTGTTTTTTTTTTTTTGAGACAGTGTCTTGCTCTGTTGCCCAGGCTGGGGTGCAATAGTGTGATCTCAGCTCACTGCAAACTCTGCCTCCCAGGTTCAAGTGATTCTCCTGCCTGAGCCTCCTGAGTAGCTGGGATTACAGGCACCTGCCACCACGCCCAGCCAATTTTTGTCCTGTTAGTAGAGATTGGGTTTCACTGTGTTGGCCAAGATGAACATGGACTTCTGACCTCAGGTGATCTGCCCGCCTCAGCCTCCCAAAGTGCTGGGATTACAGGTATAAGCCACCACACCTGGCCTTTTTTTTTTTTTTTTTGACACGGTCTCACTCTCACCCAGGCTGGAGTGCAGTGGTGTGATCATGGCTTACTGCAGTCTCAAACTCCTGGGCTCAAGCAATCCTCCCACCTCAGCTTCCTGAGTAGCTGGGATTACAGGTGTGTTCCACCATGGCTGGCTAATTTTTAAATTGTTTTTTGTAGAGATGAGATCTTGCTGTGTTGACCAGGCTGATTTAAAACTCCTGGACTCAGGTAATTCTCCCGTCCCCACGTTCCAAATCTCTGGGATTGCAAGTGTGAGCCACTGCACCCAGCCTGTGATAGTTCTTAAATCCTGTAAAGTATTTGGTTGTTGCTTTACAAGAAAATCTTGGCGGGGCATGGTGGCTCACGCCTGTAATCCTAGGACTTTGGTAGGCCAAGGTGGGCGGATCACCTGAGGTTAGGAGTTCGAGACCAGCCTGAGCAAGATGGCAAAACCTCATCTTTACTAAAAAAAAAAAAAAAAAATACAAACATTAGCTGGGTGTGGTGGCGGGTACCTGTAATCCCAGCTACTTGGGGGTCCGAGGCGGAAGAATTGCTTGAACCTGGGAAGCAGACATTTCAGTGAGCCGAGATCACACCACTGCCCTCCAGCCTTGGCAACAGAGCAAGACTCCATCTTAAAAAGAAAAAAGAAAGAAAATCTGGATTTGGGGGCTTCCCTGCAGGGATAAACACGTGCCTACCCTGCCAGCATCACACAGGCACTCTACCACTCTTGCCCCTTAAACCTGGCCAAGATAAATGCCTTCTGTTTTAAAAAGTGTGATTTTCAATGGGGCAGAGCCTCCTTCCTGGTTCTTAAGGAACCTGGGGTCAGGGACGCTTGAGCTCAGGAGGAAGTGGTGAGTGTGAAAATGGTGGTGGGCGGGGGGGGTAGGAGGCTTTCTACAGCTGGATGATGTTAAAACCCATCCTGAGAGGCTGGCTGCAAATGGCTTTGCTTAGCATGGCCACCTGGAAGGAAGCTTGGAGTTTTCCAAGTGGCCAGGGCCTTGAAGGGATTAACCCAACCTCTTAGTTCCGATTAGGTGTACTTGAGTCACATGGGCTGGGACCTGTGTCCACAGCGACTCCAGCACCATGGCTAGACCTGAGTCGTCCTCTCTCTGCAGAGAGACGACATGGAGGCTGTGCCAGGGTACCTGTCCCTGCACCAGACGGCTGATGTCATGACCTTGAAGTGGACGCCCAATCAGCTGATGAACGGGTCTGTGGGGGACCTGGACTACGAGAAGAGGTAGGGCACTGGGTCTGCTCTGTGTCCCGTGGGTCCCTCCACTCCCCTGGGCACAAGGAAGTTCCTCCCCTGGGGAAGGGAGGCTTGCATCTCGCCCTGCTTCTGCCTGCTATGCTGCCTGGCTGTTAGGGCCACTTGGCCAGCCTCCCTGCAGCTCTGGCCTCCTGGGAAACGCAAAGGCTTGGGAGAATCTGGAAACCAACTGGAAGAGTCTTAGGGCATGGGAGTTGGCAATGCCCTGGACAAAACCATCCAGAGGGAGAAATCTTTATAGAGCTCTCCAATGCCTGCAAATGGCAAATATTCTTCAGTCTCTGTCCTCCCTTCCATCACTCAGTAAAAAAGGAAGGCAGGAGTTATTAGCGAGTATCTGGTCCAGGGCTGTATCTCCCATGAAATCCTGGGATTTATAAGACCCAGCAAAGGCTTTAGAGTCACACTTGAAAGAAGTGCTGGGACAGGGCTGCTGCAGTGCCTGGGTTCCAGCCCAATTAGGGAAGACTTCAGGAAGAACAGAGAAAGCCATGGTGCAGAGGTGTGGCCGGTTCCCGTATTTCAGGTTGAGGAGTCTCTCCTGCTGGTGGGGAGAAGCAATGGTTTTTGCTGCTCCAAGCCCACATCTCATCTTAATTTTCTTTTACATTTTATTGCTTTCCTAAAAAACCTTTTTTACAATGAAGAATTTTTAACCTAAAGATAGACAGAACTCAGGTACCCATCACCCTGCCCTCATGACCATGAACCCATTCCCTCCTCCCCAGTATTCTGAAGCAACAGGCAGACATAATATGATTTCATCTGTAAATATTTTAATGTGCATCTCTAAGAAAATAAGGACTCTTTTCAAGAAACATCACCAGAAGGCTATTGCTGTGTTCTATTTAATGTGAAGGCTTGGTGTGGTTAACATCAGACTTTGGAGTGATTACAGGTGTTCTAGGCTGGATGTGGTGGCTCATGCCTGTAATCCCAGCACTTTAGGAGGCTAAGGTGGATGGATCATGAGGTCAAAAGTTCGAGACCAGGATGACTAATATGGTGAAACCCCATCTCTACTGAAAATACAGAAATTAGCCAGCTGTGGTGGTGCATGCCTGTAATCACAGCTACTCAGGAGACTAAGGCAGAAGAATTGCTTGAACTCAAGAGGCAGAGGTTGCAGTGAGCCGAGATTGTGCCACTGCACTCCAGCCTGGGCAACAGAGTGAGACCTCTGTCTCAAAAAAAAAAAAAGTGTTCTCTAAGCTGGTCACTTCCTGTGGAGGAGTCACCATCTGTCCTCAGAGCTGGTCAGTTGGCAAGACAATTGTCCCGTGATAGCACAATAACTCAGCTCCAGCCAGACCCTGCAGTCTCTCTCTCTTTTTAAACATTTAAATATTTAAATTTTATTTATTACTTTTTTTTTTTTTTTAAACAGAGTTTAGCTCTCTCACCCAGGCTGGAGTGCAGTGGTTCAATCTCGGCTCACTTCAACCTCCACCTCCTGGGTTCAAGTGATTCTCTCACCTCAGCCTCCCTGGTAGCTGAGATTACAGGAACTTGCCACCACACTCAGCTAATTTTTGTATTTTCAGTAGAGATGGGGTTTCATCATGTTGGCCAAGCTGGTCTCAAACTCCTGACCTAAAGTCATCTGCCCGTCTCGGCCTAACAAAGTTATTATTATTTTTATTTCTATTTTATTTTATATAGAAATGGTGTCTCATTTTCTTGCCCAGGGTGGTCTTGAACTTCTGGCTTCAAGCAAGCCTCTAATCTCGGCTTCCCAGACTCTAGAGTTTCTAATCAGGAGACTGTCATGGAAGAATAGGAGAGGGGGGCCGGGAGTGGTGGCTCATACCTGTAATCCCAGCACTTTGGGAGGCTGAGGAGGACAAATCACGAGGTCAGGAGATTGAGACCTGGCTAACAGGGTGAAACCCAGTATCTACTAAAAATATAAAAAATTAGCTGCGTGTGGTGGCACATGCCTGTAGTCCTAGCTACTTGGGAGCTGAGGCAGGAGAATCACCTGAATCCGGGAGGCCGAAGTTGCAGTGAGCCAAGATCACACCACTGCACTCCAGCCTGGGTGACAGAGCGACACCCCATCTCAAAAAAAGAATAAGGGAGGGGTCCCAGGGGTGCTCTGGGCCTGGAACCTCATCTCACCCTATTTATCCTAAACCTTGGTTTAAAGCCTTCTTTGACCTCCCTGCTGAGTCCAGATCACACAAGCCCTGAATCTCCTTGGTAGCATTGAGAAAACTGCAGTCACACAGCTGATCTGTGCCTGTATACCTACTGTCTTACCCTCGAGAGCTCAGTGCCTTAAAGGCAAGGGTCCCGTCTTGTTTGCATCGAATCCCCAGCTCCTGCCACCGCTTGTAACACATAGTAGGTGCTCAGATCAGCTTTGTGAAATGAAGCAGGGAAGCCAGGTGACCTGGATTCATTCACTGGATGTTTGCTAAGCAAAGCATCTATTCCATGCCAGCCACTGTGCTAGATGCAAGGGAGACAGCAGTTGTAAAAAAGGAGGGGAAAATCTTTACCTTTTCAGAGCTTACATTCTACTGGAAGACAATGAATGGGCAGGGGGAGGAATGAATATATACTATGGGACCCAGCCTGTGCTCCGCCCTCACCTCGCTGGGTGACCTGGGGTGTGTCACTCCGCCTCAGTGAGTCTCAGGGTTCCCTTTCTATTAAATGGAGAAGTAGGGCGAGATGGTCTCCTTAGGACTCAAGACATTTGCAAGGGGTCTGCAGGGGCTTCTCAAACGTTGAAGTGTCTTGGACCCAACGTCAAAGCTTTAACAGCTTGAGGAGCCTGCTTATGGCTTGGACTTGAGCCAGGGTTGTGTGGGCCAGAAACCTGATGCTAGTGTTTGGGGAAAAGCACTGGATCCAGTGATTGCCAAGCCCTGCCCCAGCTCCGATCATGGGACCCCGTGTTTCTGCATCATCTTCTGTTTGTGAACAGGCACCTCGTAGGTGCTTTGATACTGAGTTCTGGCTGAATCAGAACTTCCAGGGTCACTACCCAGGAGCTGGGGTGTCCCTAGCCCTGGGCTGTGAACCCCTGTCTCTCCTTTTTATTCTCACTAGAACCTGAGGCTCAATGGAAGATAAAAGGCAGGGGTCAGAAATGTGGGGGTTGGTGTGTGGGGAAGGGGTTTTCCCCGGAGCTCCAGCATCCCTTGGGGGACCGTGAAGCAGTGGAGTGGGGAGGTTTTTGCCTGCCCTTGTGCAGGAGCTGTTTTTACTTTACATAGCCAGCCTCACTCCTGCACAGCTGCACTCCTCACTTGCAGCTAAAGAGCTGGATATTGGGGTTCTGGAGTCAGGCCGACTTGCCTCCAGTCTCAACCCTTCTGTGTGGAGAGCAGCAGGACCCTCCTGTCCTGCTGGTGGGACAACCAACTTACGGACCAGTTTGGCAGTTTCTTGTAACATCCCCTTATCATGTGGCCCAGCAATTCCACTCCCAGGGATCTACCCAAGAGAAATGAAAACTTACGCCCACACAAAAACGTACACACAAATGCTCATAACAGCATTCATAATAGCCTAAGGCTGGAAGCAACCCAAATGTCCATCCACTGGAGAATGGATGTAGACATTTGTGGTCCATCCATGCAACAGAATATTAGTTGTCCACAAAAGCGTTAGAATCACAGGTGGACATTACAACATGGGTGAACCTCAGAAGCATTATACCACGTGAAGGAAGCCAGCCACAAAGGCCACCTGTTGTAGGATTCCATTTAGATGACATGTCCAGAAAAAGGCACCTCTGTTGAGTCAGCAAGCAGATTGTCAGTTGCCAGGGCTGTGGGTGGGAATGGAAGATTGACTCTCAACAGGCAAGAGGAATGTTTTGGGGGTGGTAGAAATGTTCTAAAACTGCCGTGTGATGATGGTTGACCAGATCTGCACATTTACTCCTCAGACTGTCCGCTGAACAGTGAGTAAATTTTATGGTGTGTAAATTATACCTCAGCAAAGCTGCTAAAACATGCAAAAGAAAACTAGAAACTCAGCCCTTGCTCCTTCCTGGCTGTGCGGCCTGGGACGATCAACTCCACTTCCTTGAGTCTCAGATTATTTATCTGTAAGATGGGAATGTTGTAAGGGAGCTTCTGAATAAGCATGTAGGGAGAATTTATGTAACAGAAGTACATAGAAAACCCTTAGCTGGGAGCCTGGCATCTGGACAGGGCTGTCAGTCATGGGGGCTGTTGGTGTCACTTTCATGGGTCCGAAGAGACTGTGGCTACAGGGCTCCTTTGCTGATGGCTGGTGGTGGCTTCATTCGCTGGGCATTTCCGGTGCTCAGCATTCACTATACACTGTGAACATTCTCTGAGCATCACAGAGAAGTGAACGAAGCAGAGCCCCTCTGCTGCAGGTGTTCAGCACCCTTTGGGGAATCAGAAAACAGGTGCTTGCAATGCAGTGTGCTGGGCACCCAGGACTGTGGGAGCCCAGGGAGGGACACCTTGGCTAGACTGGCTATGTGAGAGGCTCAACAGAGGCTGCTGCTCTTATGTCCTTGACTATCCTCGAAGGACATTTACTTCCATGAACTCTGGTGAGGCTGATTCTGGTACAGGCCAGGGCAGGAAGGGCTTTCAAAGAGAAAAGGCCCCAAGTAGTGTGACTTGAGGGTTTCTCTGAGCCCCTTCCACTTTTCTCACTTACTTCACAGCTGGGAAAACTGAGGGCCAGAAAGGGGTAAGAACTGGCTAATGTCTCTGGTGGAAGTGGGATTTGAACGCTGTCTGACCTCGATGTCTATGTTAGTTTGGGTCCTCCAGGAAGCAGGCACCAAGATGGGATTGGACCAGCAGAGGGTTATTGGGGACACACCTGTGCAGGTTAAGGGAGGGGCAGGAGTGGACAAGGAGAGCCTTTAGGCTGCCGTGCAGGGAGGGAGAGGAGGAAGGAAGGAAGGAAGGTTGGGCAGAAGGAATCTGAGACACAGCAAAGCTCTAAGAATTGCTGGGTCAAATGGAAGTCTCCTGGACCGTTGCCTGTGAGAGGAGTTCCTTGTTTCTCAGGAACAGGTGGCACTAGTACCCCGGCATGCTAGGTCCTGGCTGGGAGTGGCCTAAGGGGAGCATGGCTTCGGTGCAAACGTGGCCTCTGAAGTTAATCGGCGCCGCTCCCCTCAGCAAGGTCTTCCAAAGGAGATCTGAGTGGCGCATTTCCGTGGCCACCGCAGACCCAAGTGCCTGTGGTCTCCACCTCCCGTGTGTTCTGTTGGGAAAAGCTGTTTGTTTCAGGACAGCTGCAAGGTTTTGAGCTGGAAATGGAAACACTTAAGTAATCACAGGGACCACTTCCCAGGTATGTACAGCTCTGTGCTGAGCCCTTCAAATATGCGATTCTATTTAATCCTCACAGCAGCACTATGGGGGGTGTTACTCTAGCCCCCATTTTATCGATGAGGAAACTGAGACTCAGAGAAACCCTCTAGTCACACTGCTGGGGACCTGGGAAGCTACTGAGTGGCTATTCTAGCTCCTGCCCATGAATACATGGTGGCCTGGAGTTAGAATGTGAGTTAGTCAAGACTCTTAGATGCCAGTTAGTGGAAACCAAACTCAAGCTGACTTAAGCACTGGCCCACGTGAGCTGACACTCCAGGGGCAGTAGCTTCAGGCATGGATGGATCCAGAGACTTGAATGATGGGACCTGCACTCTGCATCTCTCTGCTCCGTCTTCCTGTCTTTTGGCGCCTCTCTCAGCCATGGTTGCTTCCGTCTTCAGACTTCTGCCCTTACCACTGCTCTCCAGGCAGAACGGGGCATCTCTGTCCCATTCATTCAAATGTAAATCTAATAATCCAGTCTCACTGATTTTGCCAGTCAGGAGTCAGTCCTGCACTGAACACTGTGGCTGGAGCAATGGGACAGGCTGATTGGCCAGGCCTGGGTCAGGTGGCCACTCCTGGAGTCCCAGGGTGGAGAGTGGGTGAAGTCCACCTCACCTCCCATATGGACTGGGGGTGGGGAGGATGGTAACCTCAGGAAATTGGGTTTCTGAGATCAGAAGAAGGGGAGATAGCATCTGGGCAGCTTGTGGGAAGGGCGGAGGAGCTCCTGGGTGTGGTCTGCTGGCCTCTGAGCCCCTCCCCACAACGGGGTAGGCAGAAGTCCTGCAAGCCTGACCCTCCCTTCCCTTCCAGCGTCTACTGGGACTATGCCATGACCATCCGCTTGGAGGAGATTGTCTACCTGCACTGCCACCAGCAAGGTAGGGACCGTGGGGACAGGAAGGGAACTGTATGTTCCTCTCGGATCCCCCGCCTGTCTCCACCCCTGCCTATTCATTAGCATCATAAGACAGTGATGTGGTGGACACTGCATATTACCTGTGCAACCTTAGGCAAGCGACCTCACCTCTCTGTGCCTCAGTTTCCCCATCTGTAACATGGGATCATAACAGCACCCTCTCATGGGGTAGTTGTGAAGATGAAATGATGTATGTTACGGGCTCAGCATGACACCCATCTGTGGCTGCAGTGTTAGCTGCTGACACTTGCTAAGCATTGACAACATGCTAAGCACAGTTCTCAGCACTCACATGCCTGTTACTCAGTCATCACAACCACCCCGTGATGAGTCTGACATCAATTCCATTTTGGCGGAGAGGAAGCAGCTTAGTATAAAGGTACACAGCCTGGAAGCTCCAGAGCTGGGACTGGATCCAGCTTTTTGTGACTCCCAAAGTCAGTGCTCTGAAGATCTGGGGTCAATAACTGCAGTTACTCCTTTAAAAACAGAAGGAAGTACAGTCAGAGTAAGCAGAGGGCCATCCTGCTTTAGAAAGAACCTGGATTCAGACCCAGACTCTGCCACCGATGAGCTGTGTGACGTTGGGGAAGTTACTTAATCTCTCTGAGCTTTGGTTTCATCATTTGTAAAATAGGCAATAATAGATAGGACTCGCAGGGATATTGTGAGTATTTCAATAAGACAGTGCCTCTAACATGCTGTGCTTGTATTCAGTAAGTGCTTACTATGTGCTAGCCAGAGTCAGCTACTGCCCTGGGACAGGGGAAGTCTAAAGGCCTCTGTACAAAAATAGGTCGGGTAGATTTGTAGAGGATTCCTGAGGAGTGGAGGATGCTAGGGAGCATCTTTTTCCTTCGGTGGTTAATGTCAGGGAGGTCCACTCTGCTCTTCGTAACTTTGTCCTGTAGTCCCAGTCAGAGATGGATGGTGAGATGAGGAGACTGGGGAGGTAAACACAGCTCCTGACCTTTACCCAGGCCTTTCCCAGAGCTCAGAGCAGGATCCATGGGTCTGGCTTGGTACTGCTGGGGGATGTGTTTGCAGGGAGGGGCTGTCACCATGCCTCATAGTGACTTCCCCCTGGGTCTTCTCTGGCTGGTGGTGGTGGCAGTGGACAGCGGCGGGACGGTGGTATTGGTCAGCCAGGACGGGATCCAGAGGCCGCCCTTCCGCTTCCCCAAGGGTGGGCACCTCCTGCAGTTCCTCTCGTGCCTGGAGAATGGGCTGCTCCCACATGGGCAGTTGGACCCACCACTGTGGTCTCAGCGGGGGAAGGTGAGTGATAATGGGGACCCAGGGCGGCTGGGTGGAGGCTGGTCATGGAGAGTGGTTGTTTTTGCCTGTGTGCCCTTAATGCGGCTTTGTGGCCTCATGCACTCCCCACTGATACCCCCAGACGGTGCAGGCTGTGGGCACAGATGTGTCCCAAGGGCCTTGGACTGGGATTCGTTCTTGCAGGGCAAAGTGTTTCCTAAACTGCGCAAGCGAAGCCCTCAGAGTTCTGCCGAGTCCACATCTTCAGACAAAGACGATGACGAGGCCACGGATTACGTGTTCAGGATCATCTACCCTGGCATGCAGTCGGAATTCGGTGAGCTGCCCTGACCCGGGCCCCGGGGAGTCACCTGCTAACTGATCCTCTCCAGGTGTTTGGAACTAGAGGATGACAGGTCTGGATTCTGGGATTAACAGGAGGATCAGGAAACAGGAAGTCAGTTTCTTGGCAGTGTCAGTTTCCCCGCAAATGGGAACAAGTAACCACCATCTACTTGACTAATAAAGATGCCACTGGGAGAGGTGGCCTGGGGTAGTGGCAGTGGCATACACTGTGGAATCCTGGCTGAACTCGGGCAAGTCACCTCAGCCCTCTGTGCCTCAGTTTCCTCATCTGTAAAATGGGCATGTTCATAGCACCAGTTTCATAGAGTCATTCTGGGGATTAAACGAGATAAAGTGGCTGGGCATGGTGGCTCACACCCATAATCCCAGGACCTTAGGAGGCCGAGGTGGGTGGACTGCCTGAGCCCAGGAGTTAAAGACCAGCCTGGGCAACATGGTGAAACCCTGTCTCTACAAAAACTACGAAAATTAGCCAGGCGTGGTGGCATGCATCCGTGGTCCCGGCTGTTTGGGAGGCTGAGGTGGGAGGATGACCTGAGCCTGGGGAGGTGAAGGCCGCAGTAAGCCGTGATTATGCCATTTCACTCCTGCCTGGGCAACCAAGTGAGGCCCTATCTCAAAATAAATGCAAATTAAAATATTTTAAAAATGAGATAAGGCATTTTTAAACATTGAATATTTTGAACATTCAAATGTTGTTGTTAATATTCTACTTTACTTTGTTTTTTTTTTTTTTTTTTTGAGACAGAGTCTCACTCTGTCGCCAGGCTAGAGCACAGAGGTGTGTGTGATCTCGGCTCACCGCAACCTCCACCTCCCGAGTTCAAGTGATTCTCCTGCCTCAGCCTCCAGGGTAGCTGGGACTACAGGTGTGCACCACCACGCCCAGCTAATTTTTATATTTTTAGTAGAGGCGGGGCTTCACCATGTTAGCCAGGATGGTCTCGATCTCTTGACCTTGTGATCCACCCGCCTCGGCCTCCCAAAGTGTTGGGATTACAGGCATGAGCCGCTGCACCCAGCCTACTTCATCTTGTTAAATGAATTCAGTGAGATGATGAGATATATTCAATATAGTAATAAGTAAGGAGTAGGGCCTTGCACACAGCAGACCCTCAGTAAGTTACAGTCACTGAGTAACTACGCCAGCAGAGGCGAAGCGGAGCACTCGGCATGAGATCAAGCAGGTTGCGTGGTGCCTGTCATGACACTGATGCACAGCAAATGGAAGTTCTTACTGCTAAGATCATCACTGTTATGGAGCTGTTGTGAGTATTCCGTGAATTCAGATCTGGCAAGTACTTAGAGGAGGGCCTGGCGTTTATGAAGCCTCATGTGGGCGTCTGTTAAACAAATCAGTATTGAGTGGTAGGTTCTTTCTGTTCACTTCATATTATTTAACCTGCAGTGTCCCTGATGTTCCCATCCCATGGATAATGGCTCTGAGCCCCTCTTTGCTGAAGTAGCCATGTGCTGGGCAGTCAGGCTTTCTTGAGAGCCGATGTCCACCTGGGCCAGACTGGAATCCCTTAAGCGCTACAGAGCGTCCTGAAGTGTTCATGACTGTCTGTTCCTGCCCTGGATCAGGGCCTCCCAGCCACTCCATGGAACCAGGTGCCCACAATCCTGGCTGGACACCAAGGCTGTTGCTGGCCCCAAGGCTGAAAAGGCTCCATGTGTGAGGGTGAAATCCCCTGGGATTCTGAGCAGCTTCTGTTCTGTTGCCCAAGAGCTTGGGTTTCCCACCCCTGTGAAGACCAACATTCATTAAGTGCTCTACTCAAGAGCAGTTACCAGATCCCCATAGCTGCCTTCCCAGGAAACTCCACAGCTTCTCTTCCCACAGGCAACGTGCACAGTCCCTCTAGGAGCTAGGCGGAGTGCTGGCTGTTTAATTTATTGGGAGATTCTCCATGTCCTCCTCCTGTGGCTTGATGTAGGCCAGTGGAGCAGACACTGGCTGTGCACACCCACATCCTCAGCATTTCCCATTTTGTGCACGCTGTTCAGCTGCCAGCTGCAGCTCCCTGCCTCAGGATCTCTTTGCCTAAGGGTTTTCTCTGGCCACCAGAGTCCCTTCTGGCCGGGAGTGGGGCATATTGGAAGCATCAGGGGACCAGCGCCTTCCTGGAGCAGCCCTCAGCTCATGGCTGATAGGAGTTAGTGTATCAGTGTCCCAGCTCCCTCTCCCTTTGTGGGGCAGACTCTGGTATGCATGTTCTGCACAGCCTGCCTGAGGTTCAGTGGGAAATTAAGCACAGTTATCCCTAGTGGTAACTTGCGTGGCAGCTAACCCTTTACTCCCTCTCCTTTTCCTCCTTTGTCTCCATTTGCCTCTCCCTTACTGACTGCCTTGTGAACTTGCACTTGGATCATGGTCTGCCTTTGAGGAAACCCCCAACTAATTCGGTTTATCTAGAGCTGGACATCTGGACCTTAGAACTTCTGACATTGGGGATGAAATAATTCTTTGTTGTAGAGGGAGGTCCTGTGCATTGTGGGATGCTGAGCACCCACTAGATGACGAGTGGCAGACTTAACTTCGCTTTAAGTTATGACAACCAAATATGTCTCTAGGTATTGCCAAGTGTCCTCTGGAGGGTGGCAGAAGTGCCTGTGATTAGAACCGTTGGTTTAGAGCAAAGAATGCATCACTGTATTCAGCTCTGCCACTGCAGTGCGGTTAAGTGACCTGTCCTCTGCAGGCCTCACTTCCTTCTCTGTAGAATGGGGTAACAGCATTCCCCACCAGCATCATATTCTGAGGAATCAGCAAGATCATTCCTAAAACACCTGGTGATCTGGCATGGGGCCTGATGCTTGGCAGATGCTCAGTGAGCAATAGTAGGTCTCATGTCTTGAGTGCCACTGTGTGCTAGACCCACTTCTGTCCGCTGTCCTGCCATCCCTATCTTAATTCATTATGTCCCCACCTTAACCCTCCCAGGTAGGTACCATTGTCATCACCATCCCCCATTTTGCAAAGAGGAAATTGATGTACAGAATGGTTAAATGACTGGTCCAGGATCACACAACCAATTCTTGTCATGGCCGGGATTTGAAAGCAGGAGGTCTGGCTCCAGAGCCTGTGCCTATAACCACCACTCCATGCATATTATGTTGACTGGCAGGGGGAGGGCATTGTGGTTTTACTGCCTTCATCCTCAAGGTCAGCTTCAACACTTGTGGAAATGGTAACCACATTCTTGGTTGATTTTCTGGGGCCTGAGCCACACAGGCTCAGCAAAACCAGTCATATTAAAGTTTTCATCTTTGAGAGGTACGAAGTCCTTTCTGGAGTAGTGCCTAAATTAGAAGTCAACAAGCCCCTTCCCATGGGCCAAATTCGGCCCACTCACCTGTTGTGGTAAATAAAGTTTTATTGGAACACAGCCACATCCATTCATTTATGTATCGTCTATGGCTGCTTTCGTGCCACAGCAGCAGAGGTGAATCATTGTGACAGAGATCATATGGCCCACAAAGTTGAAAGTATTTACTCTCAGGCTCTTAACAGAAGACATTTGCAGATAATGTGCCTTAAATAATAAGAAAAGAATTTCACCCTGTGGGAGGGGAGGCGTGACCATAGATGTTTGTAAACTGCCTCTCGGTGTCCCTTCCACCCTGTCTCCACTGGGTTCTTTGCCTGCCCCTTGTGCTCTGGGGAGGAACAGACAAGTCCCAAAATGTGTAGGCAGTTCACATTAGATTGGGGCATTTTCAGACCCCTCTGCTTCTGAGATTGTCTCTGTATTGTCTAGCAGGGTAGCCGTGTGCTACACGTGGCTCCTGAGCACTTGAAATGTCGCCAGGGCGATTGGAGATGTGCCAGAAGTGCAAAGCACACACATGATTTTCAGACTTTGTAAAAGTCTCAATAATTTTATATTGATTGTATGTTAAAATAGTAATACTTTGGATAGATTACGTTTGACAAAATATATTGCTGGAATTGATTTTACCTGTTCCTTTAAACTTTCAATGTAGCTACTAAAATTTTTAAATTACACTGGGCGCAGTGGCTCGCATCTATAATCCCAGCACTTTGGGAGTCCGAGGCGGGCAGATCACGAGGTCAGGAGATTGAGGCCATTCTGGCCAACATGGTGAAACCCCATCTCTACAGTAAATACAAAAAAATTAGCCAGGTGTGGTAGCATGTGCTTGTAATCTCAGCTACTCTGGAGGCTGAGGCAGGGGAATCACTTGAATCCAGGAGGCTGAGATTGCAGTGAGCCAAGTTCATGCCACTGTACTCCAGCCTGGTGACAGAGTGAGACTCTGTCTCAAAAAAAAAAAATTACATATGTGGCTCAATTGTAATTTTTTTTTTTTTTTTTTTTTTGGAGGCAGGATCTCGCTCTGTTGCCCAGGCTGGAGTTCAGTGGTATGATCATGGCTCATTGCAGCCTCAACCTCCTGGGCTCAATAGATCCTTCCACCTCAGGCTCCTGGGTAGCTGGAACCACAAGCACAGGCCACCACACCTGGCTACTTTATTTTTGGATTTTTTGTAGAGATGGGGTTTTGCCATGTTGCCCAGGCTGGATTTGAACTCCTGGACTCAAGAGTTCACTTGCCTAGGACTTTGAAAGTCCTGGGATTGCAGGCATGAGCCCCTGCCTGGCTCCTTGATTGTGTTTCTATTGGCTAGACCTGGTCTGGTGGGGGGTTTCTTAACTCTCAGCACTGTTGACATTTAAGGCTGAATAATTCCTTGTGTGGGGGTTGCCTTGTGTATTGTAAGAGGTTGAGCAGCACCCTTGGCCTCCAGCTGCTAGATGACAGTAGCACCTAATGAATCCTCAAGGCATGACAACCCAAAGTGTCTCCCAGCATAGACAGGATTGCCCTGGTTGAGAACAGATGGTGTGGAGGGATGAGTATCTTTGGGAAACCAGCTGAGGGGGAAAGAGTAAGATCAGAGTCAGGTCCTCAGGCCAGGCACAGTGGCTCATGCCTGTAATCCCAGCACTTTGGGAGGCTGAGACAGGAGAATGGCTTGAGCCCAGGAATTCAAGACCAGCCTGGGCAACATGGTGAAACCCCATCTCTACAAAAAAATTTTAAAACATTAGCTGGCCATGCCAGTGTGTGCCAGTAGTCCCAGTCACTCAGGAGACGGAGTCTGGGAGATCAGGGCTGCAGTGAGCCATGTTTGTACCTGGTTGGGATCTTGGCTCTTCTGCTTATTAGCTGGGTGGTCTTGGGCATGTTGCTTAAACTCTCCATGCCTGTTTTCTAATCTTATGTAAAAGAGAGTAATGATCGTTCTGTACTCAGTAGGGACAGCTGTTTTTGGTGGAAAGAGCAGGGGGACTTTAGTCAAAAAGACTAGATATGTCTGTTACTACCTGACAGGGCTTTGGGTGATTAAGTTGTGCCATCATTCTGAGAGTCAGTTTCTTCTGAAAAATAGGTGGAGGATGCATCCCTACAGGGTCACAAAGGACAGTAACTGCTTTCCTTAGGTCTGCTCAGGTCGCAAACTGCCTAGCCTGACACTCAGCACATAGTAGGCAATTTATAAAAATAAGCATTTTTTTCTTTTAATTGAACACAGGATATGTGGAAGCTGTGTGGAGCTGGGCAAAGAGAGGGTTGGAGCCCCAGGAATTGGCTCTTCCAGCTGTCTCAGTTTCCTGCCCACTGCAGAACCCCCACCTCACTGGTTCTTTTCGTTTTGTGTCTCAAGTTGCCTGCAGCCTCTTGGGCAGCACTTCCCCCGTCTCTGTGGGCCCTGCCTGGATGATGGTTCCTGCAGGCCGGTCCATGCTGGTGGTGGCCAGAGGGAGTCAGTGGGAGAAAGCCAGATGGGACACTATCCCCACGCCGAGCCTGAAGGAGCAGCTTCCCAGTAATGCCTGGGATCTCCCCTTCCCCAGGGGCTGGTGCCAGCCACCTCTGCCATGTTGTCATTTGAGTCCTGGTCCCAAGGGAGATGGAGGCAGGAAAGGAGATGGAGGCAGAGAGATTGATGTCCTCCTGCTGTCCAGCCTCCACCCTACAGAAGGCAGCTTGTGGTGTTCGGAAGCAAAGGGATCAATTGGTGATGTCTGCATGAATGTGAGTGTGAGAGGCTGGGAGGGAGGAAGGCGTGGTTGCCATACTTGGGCTAACCTGGTCAGTGTATCCCTGAGATTGGCTAAGAACTATAGGGCTATTTTTCTAGAACATTTTACAGGGGCTTATTGGACTTTGTTGGCTAGCTCATGGGTGAGAGTATATGGGGAAGGATAGTGTAACAAGCCGTATTTGGTGGTTGCAAGAACTGCGCCGTATAGGCAGCTCCCTCTTCTGTCAGCTGGTAGGGGCTGACCTTGTCAGCCACTGAGCGCTGTCATGGAAAGAGGACCAGTTCCACAACTCTCCCTTACCTTGGGGCCCAAGGGAAGAGTCAGGGTATTACCAGTTGTCCTGTGGGACCATGACATATGGGGGAAAAAGTGTGCAACTCTCTTCATTTCCTGCAGCAGGGATTACAAAAGATTCATGGGCTAAATTCAGCTGTATTCTGTACTAGCCTATGAGCTAAGAATGGTTTTTCAAATTTTAAATGATCTTAAAAGGCCAAAAGGAAAGTAGTATTTTGTGACATGAAAATGATAGGACATTCACATTTCAGTATCTATAAATAAAGTTTTATTACAATGTTTGCATGCTTCCTTTTTTACATTTTGTTTAGGGCTACTTTTGCACTAAAGCAGAGTCTAGTGCTTATGAATGAGACCAAATGGCTTGCAAATGCTAAAATATTTACTAGCTGTCCCTTTACAGAAAAACTTTATGGATCCCTGTTTTAAAGAAAATAAAGTTTTTGCACCTGTCTAGGACTACTGAGAGGCCAGGAAATTGACTATAAAAATTGTAGTGCTTATGTCCCCAGTATGTTTGTTATGCAGTTTTGTAGACACTGCAGCTTCTACACAGCTGAGAAAGAAAAATAAATAAAGGAAGCCATGAGTGCTGTATCCTGAGAGTGGCTGGTCAGGAATCACCAGTGTCCAAAAGTTAGGAAATCAGAGTCTATCGAATGTACCTGCTGCATCAAAATTGCTTTAGAAATATAGATTTGAGAGCTCTGTCTGCAGAATTAGTTGAGTAGGCCAGGAGTGTGGGGCAGGCATATTATTTTTTAACAAGCCTCCCACATGATTTTAGGGAGTCGCTATTATGTTTGAGACCTGCTTGCTGGAGCAGCTTTAGCCTCAGAACCATGGACAGCGCAGATGTCCTCTTCATCAGCAGGGGCTTCACTGGGTCTCTTGCCCTTGAATGCCCTGCCTTATCATAATGTTGAGTCAGGCTCCCTTCCATCTCACTCATGAGGCCTGTCTCTTCTCCAGAATCACCCAGCAGGCTCCCCTTCCCTCCTGCAGCATCTTGTGAGCATGACTAAGTGACAACATGACGAGGCTTGGCCTTCTGCTCTGGGATTGGGCCTGTTCCCATGGCTGTTGCTTCTCTGTGTCGTCTTCTTCTCTTTTTGGCTGTCATCAGCTCTGCCCATCTGCTAGGGCCCCAGATTTTGGTGGTGGCTTTCACTGGATCAGGCGGACTCAAGGATGATTGGGGCTGCTGTTTCCTACTGTCACCTTCAGGGTCTTTTCCTATCTCTGTGCTGGCTGGGGTGGGTGAGCTGCTTGTTCTGGGGTGATGTTTCTGTGACCCACTTAGGTTTAACCAGGATGATTCCTCTGCCCCCACTTCTATCTACCACAGTCCCCCAGGATCTGATGGATGTCTCTGTGAGCAATCTCCCATCCCTATGGCAACCCAGTCCCCGGAAGTCCTCCTGTTCATCCTGTTCACAGAGTGGCTCGGCTGATGGTAGCTCAACCAATGGCTGCAACCACGAGAGGTATGAGGGGCTTGGGCTGCAGATGGAGGGAGCTGAAGCATGAACCAGAGATCTGCAGATGCCCATACCTCACCCTGCACTGGATTCAGAGGAGTCAGCCAGATCTACGTGAAATCCTAGCCGTTGGAGCTTACATGTACTAGTCAGGTTAAGCGAGGTTATGGTGCAGAAACAAACTCCTAAAATCGCAGTGGCTCTTTTACAACAGAAGTTTAGTTATCATGCATGCCATGTTTCTATCATGGGTCAGCTGGTGGCTCTGTTTCTTCCACAGTAAAGGGCCTGGCTGATGGAGCAGCTACCATCTTGAATGTTGTCAGTCACAGTGACAGGGAAAGGTAGCTCTGCAGGGGCTTAAACCCACAATAAAAAGCCTCTGCCCAAAAGCAGCACAATACTATTTAATGACAGCCGCTTCCCAGTTTGCTCCTCCACACAGTGGAAATTCCTGTTCTTACTTTATATGCCTATGGTAAGGACCAGCTCAAGTAATGGTTTAACGTGGCCGCAGTGTGGCACCTGCACATGGTACTATTCAGTAAATGACACTTACTGTCTTGCTGTATAAAGTTAAATCTCAAGCGCATCTCCTGTTTGCTCATAGATCTTTTGTCTCTTTGGAGTTATACAGCCAATTCATGAGACTGGTTTTGTTTCCCCCTGGTACAACCTGGCCTGGCCTGAGAGAATGGAATCCTTTTGTCCTTGCTGGGCTTCTGTCTCAGTGGGTGGTCCAGTCATCAGCCATAGAATGTAAGGGGTGGGGGCCGGCAGCAAATTTTTGAAGCCATCCAACTCCTGGTTCCTCAGGCTGTGATCTGTGAACCAGCATCAGCACCTGGGCAGATTCTCAGTCTCTCATCCCAAACCTCCTGAATCAGAACCTGTATTTAACATGGTCTCAAGACCATGTGTATGCTTTAAACTTTGAGAAGTGCTGATATTACTGAGATTTTATTTTTTCTTTTCTTTCTTTCTTTTTTTTTTTGGAGAGAGTCTCTCTCTGTTGGCCCAGGCTGGAGTGCAATGGCATGATCTTGGCTCACTGCAACCTCTGCCTCCCAGGTTTAAGTGATTCTCCTGCCTCAGCCTTTGAAGTAGCTGGGACTACAGGCACGTGCCACCATGCCTGGCTAAATTTATATTTTTAGTAGAGATGGGGTTTCACCATGTTGACCGTGCTGGTCTTGAACTCCTACCCTCAAGTGATCTGCCCCCCTCGTCCTCCCAAAGTGCTGGTATTACAGATGTGAGCCACAGCGCCTGGCCTGGAGATTTGCTTTCGTTGTTATTACTGTTGTTGAGACAGTCTGCTCTGTTTCCCAGGCTGGAGTGCAATGGCACGATCTTGGCTCACTGCCACCTCCGCTTCCCGGGTTCTAGTGATTCTCCTGTCTCAGTTTCCCAAGTAGCTTGGACTACAGGCACGCACCACCACACTCAGCTGTTTTTGTATTTTTTAGTAGAGATGGGGTTTCCACCATATTGGCTGGCTGGTCTCAAACTCTTGACCTTGTGATCTGCCCGCCTCAGCCTCCCAAAGTGCTGGGATTACAGGCTTATGCCTTAATCCCATAAGCCACCATGCCTGGCCGAGATTTTCTTACTGTACATCAGACTCATCTGGGCTAAGTGGCAAAACATATCATCAGTTCATGGACTATTTCCTAGAGGTCCGGACTGAGTAGGTATGTGCAGGGCCCAGGAATCCACATGTTGGAGAAACTCCAAGTAACTCTTGGGCTGATGGTCCATGGACCAGTGAGAAATGCTGCTATAACCCATCGCCCCCTCTCCTGTTGTAACATCTGCTTACACACATGGAGTGATGGAGAGCTCACTACCTTGCAGAAAGCTTGGTCTGCAGTGGGAAAGCTGTTGAAGTGATCCTGTTCTCATGTAACCTGAGCCAGTCTGAGCCTCACCAAATGTGGGGGCACAAAGGGGGACTCTTTACTGTTTTTCGTTGTTGTTGTTTTTTATAAAGACAGAGTTTCACCATGTTGGTCATACTGGTCTTGAACTCCTGACCTCAGGTGATCCACCTGCTCTGGCCTCCAAAGTGCTTGGATTACAGGCGTGAGCCACCACACCCGGCCCTCTTTACTGTTTAATGTGCCTAACTGGAGGTCTTTAGCTATGCTCCTCCTGCCCCGCCCCGGTCTACCTGTTTTACTGGATGTCTCTTGGAATGTCCTGAGAACAAATACACAGATATTCTTTCATTCTGTCCTCTAGGAGAGTGTCCAACATTCCCTTCAACAGTTCTGGATTTCTCCACCAGTGCTTAGAATCTGACTCTTCTCACCTCTTTCAGCCAAAAATGTTCCCCAAAACTCACATGTAAGGAGAAGCTTTGAGACATCACCTACTAGGCAATCAGCCAAACTCTGAATCCCAATTTGACTCAGCTTGGTTCAGCTGGGTCACTTTGGAAATCAGAACTCTTCCTGCAAGTGATAGAAACCCACTTCAAACTGTATCAAGTAAAAAGGGAAATTTGTTGGAATCACTGAGACGTCCAAAGGCACAGCGGCTTCAGGCATGGCTGGATACAGATGTTGAAAGAGGAATGTCTGCTTCTTCAGCTCTTGGCTCTGCTTGCCTCTGTGATGGTTCCATCCTCAGGCAGGCCCTTCCTATGCAGTGGCAAAGATGACTCCCAGTAGCCATTGCCTTATATCCCACGGGCTTAGAAACCCAAGCAGAAAAGTGGAATTCCTGGTCATTGCAACAAAAATCCCACGGCTGATTCTCATTGGCTTAGGTTGGGTAACATGACCATCTCTGCCCCGAACACTATGACTGCAACCTGGGTCCTGTAGTGGGGCAAAGTCATCCCCATACAAACCACACAGGCAGAGAGTTGTGGAGAGTGTGATTTCTCAAGGGAAAATCAGGGTGCTGGGAGCAGAAGAGGCAATGATACTGTACAGGTAGAGGTAATAGCAGCCCTCCCCACAGTTCCCCTGAATGGCTGATTTTAATCTGTCCTCTAGAGATAATGCATGGTGCTCTTCTCAGAAAATCTGGGCTGTATTTAGATCTATTCTAAGCATCTCCCTCTTTCTCCACCTGCAGGGCTCCCCTGAAACTTCTCTGTGACAATATGAAGTACCAGATCCTCTCCAGAGCCTTCTATGGATGTACGTACAGGGCTTCATTGCCAGTGTGGTCTTCGTGGAGCAGCTGTTGGTGCCTGCTGCATTGTGCCAGCAACATCAAGAGACCCTGGCTCTTGATGGAGTTTGAACCTCTCCTCTATTCCCTAGATGTCTGATTTCAGTGACATTACATGAACCTCTCTGAGCCTCAGTTTCCTTGTCTACTGATTGGGGATAAGTTTTATTCCTGGGTCCTGAGAGAGGACAGTGGAAAGTGGGGTCCCCTGGGGACAGAGATTTGGTTTAATCAGCACTGCATCCCCAGGTGCCACAGTGGAGGATTTGTTTCTCAGGATTGAATGAGGACCACGTAGAAAGCCCCTAGTGCCTGATATTGCATGCTGTAGGTGCTCAATAAATGTCAGTTTCCATCTCTTATGGGCAGAAGCAGCAGAAAGAGTAAGGTGACCATATCCCTCCCCCAAAACTTAAATATTAAATTCATAGTACTCACATTCTGATTATTCTCATTTAACAGATGAAGACACTGAGGCACAGAGGCAGAATGACTTGCCTAAAGTCACACAGCTAATAAGTGGCAGAGCTGGGACTCAGACCCTGGCCTGTTTGACTCCAAAAGCTTTGTGTTTTCCTCTCTGCTGTCTCTTTCTTCCTTTCTTTTTTTGAGACAGTCTCACTCTGTCTCTGTGGCCTAGGCTGGAGTACAGTGGCGTGATCTCAGCTCACTGCAACTTCTGCCTCCTGGTTCAAGTGATTCTCTGGCCTTAGCCTCACAAGTAGCTTGGATTACAGGTGTCCACCACCACACCTGGCTAATTTTTGTATTTTTAGTAGAGATAGGTTTCACCATGTTGGCCAGGCTGGTCTCAAACTCCTGACCTCAAGTGATCTGCCCACCTCGGCCTCCCGAAGTGCTCAGATTACAGGTGTGAGCCACCACGCCCACCTGTCCCTGCTGTCTTGATCTTTTGGTTTTATTTCCCCAGTTTCACAGCCTAGATGGGGAAGATGGGTATGTATTTTCAAGGATTCTAGAAACATCTTAATACAACCTGCATGTGCCTGAGTGCCTGGAGAGGCAGGGAGAATGTGACTGTACTAGGAGAGGGGTTTTATCTGTTCTGTTGCCACCCATCCTCAGTGCCTCATGCAGGACCTGGCATGAAGCAGGCACTGGGGAAGCATTTACTGGACCCAAATGGAAGATCTTCCTGCAGGAAGGGGTGGGGGTCAGGAGGGGTCTAGAGCAATGTCACTGGACAATGTGGCTCATCCCTAACGGTGATTGAGAACCCAGGTTCTGGAGCCAGGTGGCCTGGTTTCAGATCCCAGCAATGCGACCTGGGCAAGTAACATAACCAGTTTGTACCTCAGTTTACCCCATCTATAAGATGGAGCTAATAATAGTACCTGCTTCCTCAGGTTGTGGGGAGGATGGGATGTGTTAAGGTATGCAGTTCTAGGAACAGCTTCCTGCCATGTAATGTGTGTTGTGTAAATGTTAGCTCTTACATCATTGTCATCCTCCTCATCCTCACCATTCTCATCATCACTGTGAGTGTCTCTTTTGTTAAAGTGTAGTCTGCAGTCTCCAGAATGTCCAGGGTTCTCTCTGAGAATTTAGGATGAAATAGCCTTGGAGAGCCGGAAGGAGGGGGCACTGCCAGAGCAAGCAGCACAGGCTGGGATTTGCTGAGGCACTTGACCCAACGCTCTCCAGGTGCCAGCGTGGGCCAGATAAGGGGTGGCACGTTGGTGGGCATGCTTTAAGAAGGCAGGGCAATCTTTGAAAGCAAACTTGGTGTCCCTTCAACATCTTCCTGGTTACTGACTTGGAGGCCTTTCTAATCCAGCTGCAATTATTCTAATTTTTAAATTTTTAATTTAAAATTTCTATTTTTATTTTAGTTTTTTGAGACAGAGTCTCACATTGTCACCCCAGCTAGACTGCAGTGGCACCATCATGGTTGACTGTAGCCTCTACCTCCCTGGCTCAAATGATCCTCCCGTCTCAGCCTCCGGAGTAGCTGGAACTACAGGCACATGACACTATGCCTGGCTAATTTTTTTTTTTCTGGTATTTTAGTAAAGATGGGGTTTCACCATGTTGGCCAGGATGGTCTCGATCTCCTGACCTTGTGATCCGCCTGCCTCAGCCTCCCAAAGCGCTGGAATTACAGGCATGAGCCCCCGCACCTGGCCACCTAGCTAATTTTTTAAATTTTTTTGTAGAGATGTGGTCTCACTGTGTTGCCCAGGCTGGTCTTGCGCTCCTGAGCTCAACAGATCTGCCCATCTAGACTTCCCAAAGTGCAGGGATTACAGGCTTGAGCCACTGTGCTCCGCCCCATTTTATATCTATCTATCTATGTATCTATGTATCTATGTATCTATCTATCTATCTATCTATCATCTATCTATCTATCTATTTTGAGACAGAGTTTTGCTCTTGTTATCCAGGCTGAAGTGCAATGGCACAATCTCGGCTCACTGCAACCTCCGCCTCCTGGGTTTAGGCAATTCTCCTGCCTCAGCCTCCTGAGTAGCTGGGATTACAGGCACGCGCCACCATGCCCAGCTAATTTTTTGTATTTTTAGTAGAGACAGGGTTTCACCATGTTCACCAGGATGGTCTTGATCTCTTGACCTCGTGATCCACCTGCCTCGGCCTCCCAAAGTGCTGGGATTACAGGCTTGAGCCACCGCGCCTGGCCTAATTTATTTTTTAAAAGATGTATTATACATATTTTAGGAGTATGTATGATATATTGATAGATGTATCCATTGTGTACTGATCAAGTCTGTGTAATAGTGAAATTGATCACTTTCAAACATTTATCTTCGGGGAGCATTACAGTTCTTCTTTAATAGCTATTTTGAAATACACATAAATTCTTAACAATAATTTCCCTACTGTACCATCCAATACAAGAATGTATTCCGTCTAACTATTTTTGTACCATTAACCCACATCTTGGCATCCTCCTCCTACATCCTTCCCTTTCTAGCTCCTGGTAAGTACCAGTCCACTCTACCTCCATGAAAACTACCTGTTTAGATCCCATATATAAGTAAGAGCATGTGATATTTGTCTATCTGTGCCTCGTGTTTTTTGCTTAATAAAACCTCCAGTTCCGTCCATGTTGCTACACATGACAGGATTTCGTTCTCTTTTATGGCTGAATAATATTCCATTGCATTCATATACCACAGTTTCTTTATCCATTCATTCATCGATGGACACTTAGGTTGATTCTGTATCTTGGCTATTGGGAATGGTGCTGCAGTAAACATGAGGGTGCAGATATCTCTTTGATATGCTGATTGCTTTTCTTTCGCATAAGTACTCATTCAGCTGCAGTTTGAACAGGAGTTGTCCACATTTCACATTCTCTTTCTTGCTGTGTGAATTAGAGGGAGACAGAGGCACAGCAAGCCCACAGAGTCAGGGGCTACCTTCCTTTCTGCCCCTTCTCTGCCTCTAGCCTATGAATTAAATGCTTTGGCTTAGAGCAGAGAACTGGGTGCCATCACCCTGACTGAGGCTGAGAAAGATGATAAGGCTTCCCCAGGGTCATAGAGCTATATACAGTCCAGCCAGCAAGTGTGTCAAGCCCCATCTTCCTTGTCTAGAAAAGGGGAAGTTTACAAGAATTCACTGAGTCGTGGAGTTTAGTAAGATCCAGAGTGGGCCAGGTACAGTGGCTTGTGTCTGTCATCCCAGCACTTTGGGAGGCCAAAGCAGGAAGATCACTTGAGTCCAGGAGTTCGAGGCCAGCCTGGGCAAGATGATGAAACCCTGTCTCTACAAAAAAAAAATTACCAGACGGACGTGCTGGCACATGCCTCTAGTCCCAGCTACTCGGGAGGCTCTGGTGGGAGGATTGTTTCAGCCTGGGAGGTTGAGGCTGCAGTGAGCCAAGTAATAGAGCAAGACCCTGTCTCAAAAAAAAATTTAAAAAGATGGGGTGTGGGACATCATTTGGGAAGCCCCATGAGACAAGGTGAGGGGCTTCAGGTGGTGGATGATGACACTTTCCCTCCCTCCCTCCCTCAACAGGGCTGGCCTACTGCAGACATCTGTCCACCGTGAGGACCCACCTGTCAGCCCTGGTCAATCACAGGATCGTGTCTCGGAACTTGCCCTGCGATGCTGGACAGGGGCTGACAGCCGGGATCTGGGAGCAGCACCTTCAGGATAGCACAGTAAGGCTCAGCAGCAGCACCTGCAGGATCGTACAGTAAGGCTCAGCTGGGCTTGCTCTGCAGTGATGCAGAGGCTGCAGGGGGCCATCTTATTACCTGAGAAATAAGCCCACCTGCTTGTAGGGACTCTAGCTGATGTGCTTGGATTCTGCATATGCAAATTGGAGTTCTCCTTTTCTCGAGAGTTCTAAGACCTACAACTCACTTCTGTCCATGAGTGTGGAGATTGAATGGGAGGTTAAACATGCTGACCTAGACGGAGTAGAGAACAAATTGGTCTGTAAGCATTTATCATTAAGCATCATCTGGGCCGGGCGCGGTGGCTCATGCCTGTAATCCCAGCACTTTTGGGAGGCTGAGGCGGGCGAATCACTTGAGGCCAGGAGTTCAAGAACAGCCTTGCTAACATGGTGAAACCCTGCCTCTACAAAAATACAAAAATTAGCTTGCCATTGTGGTTGAGTACACCTAAGAGTAAAGTAAAATAGGCTTTTAATATTGGAATGTGACGAGATGAGACGGAACAGGCCCTGGGGCCCTTCAGGGCAGCCTTCTAACACCATCGCCACTTCCCATAATGCATGTGCAGTTAGAACCTGCTGGCCACACAGCTCAACTAATTGTAACCACAAAACCTTTGCCTGAAAATGAAATTTTAAAAAGCAGACAAACTCAACTCCACAATACATCACATACCTGTTAAAGTCATCCTAGTGTGTACAAAAGATATTAGTGTATAAAGTAGTAGCTACAATTGTTCATTTTGGATTAATTTGCTTTAGAGAAATTTTCTTAAGAGCTAAGATTAATAATTGCAACATAATATTTTCTTTTCTTTCTTTTTTTTTTTTTTTAAAACAGAGTCTTGCTCTGTGGCCAAGCTGGAGTGCAGTGGCATGATCTCGGCTCACTGCAGCCGCTGTCTCCTGGGTTCAAGTGATTCTCCTGTCTCAGCCTCCTGAGTAGCGGAGACTGCAGGCACACGCCACCACACCCAGCTAATTTTTTGTATTTTAGTAGATAGAGATGGGGTTTCACCATGTGGGCCAGGCTGGTCTCCAACTGCCGACCTCAGGTCATTCACCTGCCTTGGCCTCCCAAAGTTCTGGAATTACATGGGTGAGCCACCGCACCTGACCAATAATATTTTCAAATAAGCATAAGACCAAAAATGGGCTGAAAATCAATTAAAATATTAATGCATTATAGCCTGCCCTTTTTCTTTTTACAAAAATGGGCTCATACTACATATGTTTTACCACTTATTTTTTTTTCACTTAATGATACACATTGAGCACTTTTTTTTTTGAGACGGAGTTTTGCTCTTGTTACCCAGGCTGGAGTGCAATGGTGTGATCTCGGCTCACTGCAACCTCCGCCTCCTGGGTTCAGGCAATTCTCCTGCCTCAGCCTCCCGAGTAGCTGGGATTACAGGCACGCGCCACCACGCCCAGCTAATTTTTTGTATTTTTAGTAGAGACGGGGTTTCACCATGTTGACCAGGATGGTCTCGATCTCTTGACCTCATGATCCACCCACCTCGGTCTCCCAAAGTGCTGGGATTACAGGCTTGAGCCACTGCGCCAGGCCCATTGAGCATTTTTTATGTGGGTCGCCATAGACGCACCCCTCGATCTTTTACAGCTCTGTGTTGCGAACTTGTGTAGGGATGCGTGTTTGCCCATTGCTGGGCAGTTGGAAAATGGCCTGGGTTTGGCTTTTTCATATGATGCCAGGACCAGTAACCAAGTACCTATGACTTTGCTTATTCAGGCCAGGGTGTCTGAGGGCTAGGTCTGAGAAACAGGACTGCTGGGTCACGGAGGTAGACCACAATGGTACAGTTAGGGTGTTGCCAGGGTGTTGAGGGCTAGGTCCGAGAAACAGGACTGCTGGGTCACGGAGGTAGACCACAATGGTACAGTTAGGGTTTTGCCAGTCAGTATTGTAGGACAGGTGCACAGGAGTTGAGGAATATTGGTGAGAAGATAGCTCAGGGCGGCCGGGCGTGGTGGTTCATGCCTGTGATCCCAGCACTTTGGGAGGCCAAGGCGGGTGGATCACCTGAGGTCAGGAGTTTGAGACCAGCCTGGCCAACATAGTGAAATTCCGTCTCTACTAAAAATGCAAAAATTAATTGTGTGTGGTGTCAGGTGCTGGTAGTCCCAGCTACTCAGGGGGCTGAGGCAGGAGAATCGCTTGAACCCGGGAGGCAGAGGTTGTAGTGAGCCGAGATTGCACCACTGCACTCCAGCCTGGGTGACTGAGTGACTCTGTCTCAAAAAAAAAAAAAAAAAAAAAAGATGGTATCTCAGGGTGGCTGGGTGCAGTGGCTCATGCCTTTAATCTCAGTACTTTGGGAGGCCAAGGCAGGCCAATCACTGGAGGTCAGGAGTTTAAGACCAGACTGGCCAACATAGTAAAACCCCATCTCTACTAAAACTACCCCTGGTTTTCTGTTGACCAAACTCTTTACTCCTCCCCACCTACCACAGAGTTACGAGGAGCAGGAGCTGCTGCGCCTCATCTACTATGGGGGCATCCAGCCTGAGATCCGCAAGGCTGTGTGGCCCTTCCTCCTGGGCCACTACCAGTTCGGGATGACGGAAACAGAAAGGAAAGAGGTTGGTTACCCGCCATGGGCACTGGGCTCTTTGGCAACAAAAGGAGCAGAAAGTGTGGGATTGGGGAGCTCTGGTTTCATGCTGGACCAAGGAGGGGCAGGAGATACAGGGGAGATGGAAACCTGAAGGCGGCTCTATCTGGTAGAAACACAACAAAAGCCACATGGGGAATTCTTACATTTTAAAATTTTGGATTAAGTGTAGATTCATATGCAGTTGTAAGAGATTAATGCAGAGAAATCTCATGCATCTTTTACCCAATTTTTTTTCTGTTGGTAACACCTTGCAAAACGTTGAGGCAGTAAGATATCAGAACCAGAGTATTGACATTGATAATATAACAATGTCAATGTAAGATTGACATTGTAACAGAGGTCCCAGGTGGCCATCACCTAGTAGTATACTCATCTTCATCAGACTTTCCCAGTTTTACTTGTTCTCTGTAGTGTGTGTGTGTGTGTGCGTGTGCGTGCATGTGTGTGTGTATGCGTTTTCTTTACAGTTTTCTCACGTGTAGATCTGTGTCCATCACCACGGCCAACATACAGAACATTTTTAATGCTATAAGGACCTCCACGTTGTCTTACAGAGCCAGACTCACCTCCCCGATACCCACACCCTGGTCCTAATCTCTGGCAATCACTAATAATATGTACTTCATTTCTACAATTCTGTCATTTCAAGAATGTTGTAAAATGGTATGTAACATTTTGGGATTGATTTTTTTCACTCAGCGTAAATCCTCATCCAAGCTGTTGAGAGTATCGAGAGTTGATTCCTTTTGATGGCTGGGTAGTATTCCATGATATGGATGTAGCAAAGTGTAACTTTCACTTGTTGGTAGACAGCTGAGTTTTTTCTAGTTTTTTGACTGTTACTTATCAAACTGTAATGAATATTTGTGTATAGTTTTTACACGAGTATAAATGGTCATTTTTCTGGGATAAATGAAGAATGTAATTGTTGGGTCATATAGTAGTTGCATGTTCAGTTTTATATGAAACTTACAAACTTTCACAATAGCACATGCCTTTAGTCCCAGCTGTGGGAGGCTGGAGCAAGAGATTCACTTGAGCTCAGGAGTTCAAGTTCAGCCTGGGCAACATCTGGAGACCCTGTCTCTAAGGGGAAAAACAGAAAGTGCCACACTTTTGCAGTGGCTGTACCATTTTATATGTCCACCAGCAAAATGGGAGTGCTTCATACTTCCATCTTCACCAGACTTTTGTCTTGTCACTATTTTTAATTTCAGCCACCTGACACGTGTAAATGATATTTCATTGTTTTTTGTTTTTTGTTTTCTGAGACGGAGTTTCGCTCATTACCCAGGCTGGAGTGCAATGGTGTGATCTCGGCTCACCGCAGCCTCCACCTCCTGGGTTCAGGCAATTCTCCTGCCTCAGCCTCCTGAGTAGCTGGGATTACAGGCACGCGCCACCATGCCCAGCTAATTTTTTGTATTTTTAGTAGAGATGGGGTTTCACCATGTTGACCAGGATGGTCTCGACCTCTTGACCTTGTGATCCACCCGCCCCGGCCTCCCAAAGTGGTGGGATTACAGGCATGAGCCACCACGCCTGGCCCCAAATTTCATTGTTTTTATTTGCATTTTCCAAATGGCTAGTGAAGTTTAAGGTCTCTTCGTGTGTTTATTTGCCATTGTGTATCTTCTCTGGTGAAAAGTCTGCTGACGTCTTTTGTCCACCTTCTAACTGGATTTTTTTTCCTGTATAGTTAGAGTCCTTTATATACTCTGACAACAGTCCTTTGTTAGGATATGGGATTTGCACATATTTTCTCCTAGTCTGTAACTTCTCATCTTGTAACAAGCAGGATCTTTTGCAAAACAATTTTTTAAATTTTTAATGAAACGCAGTTTATCAATTTTTCCTCTTCTGAATTGTGCCTTTGGTGTCAAGTCTAAGAAAATTTTGCCTAGCCCTAGGTCTGGATCTCCTACGATTTACCCTTATCCTAAAAGTTGTCTATTTTACATTTGACGTACAATCTTCTGAGTTCTTTTCTTTTTTTAATATGGTATGTCATTCAGGTCAAAGTTCATGTTTTGCTTATGAGTGTTCAATTGCTTTGGCGTCATTGATTGAAAAGTTTCCTTCCTCCACTGAATTGCTTTTGCACTGTTAAAGCAGTTGGGAATACATGTGTCGGTCTGTTTCTGGGTTCTCTCTTCTGTTCTGGTGATTGATGAGTCTGGCCTTCTGCCAGTACCACTCTGTCTTGGTAATTGTAGCACATGTATAATTTTAAATGTCTTCATAGTCACGTTTTAAAAGTAAAAAGAAATATATGCAATTCATATTTCTGAACTTTTTACTTTGACATATAAATGGTCCCCAACTTCCAATTGTTGGTCTTACAATTTTTTGACTTCACAATGGCTTTATTGGGGTATTAAATGTATTTTTTGTTTTTGAGATGGATTCTCGCTCTGTTGTCCAGTGGAGTGCAGTGGTGTGATCTTGGCTCACTGTAGCTTCCATCTCCTGGGTTCAAGCAGTCTCCCCCCTCCCCTCAAGTACCTGGGATTACAGATGCCCACTACCACGCCCAGCTAATTTATATATTTTTAGTAGAGATGGGGTTTCACCATGTTGGCCAGGCAGCTCTCAAACTCCTGACCTCAGATGATCCACCACCTCAGCCTCCCAAAGTGCTGGGATTATAGGTGTGAGCCACCGCCCCCGGCCTTAAATGCATTTTTGACTTCAGATATCTTCAATTTAGGATGCATTTATTGGGACATAACCCCATCATAAGTCGAGAAGCATTGGTAATTATAAGTTCACAGGAAGCTGCAAAAAGTAACAGAGGTCCCAGGCGCGCATCACCCAGCTTTCCCCAGCGGTAACAGTTTATGTAACTGAAGTACACTGTCAGAATCAGAGCACAATACAACTAGCTAGACTACAGGCCTTACTAGGATTTCAGCAGATTTTGCATCTGCTGGTGTATGTTTTTATGTGTGTGTAGTTCCATGACATTTCATCAAGATGAGATTCATTTGAGTATTTTATTTAACCAGATATATCCAATATATTATCCCTCTGTTGACACCTCGAGGCCCCTCTGTTGACACCTCAGGTGACATTGCATCTGCCCTGGCAGGTGGATGAGCAGATGCATGCCTGCTACGCACAGACCATGGCCGAGTGGCTGGGCTGCGAGGCGATCGTGCGGCAGAGGGAGCGGGAGTCCCATGCGGCCGCCCTGGCCAAATGCTCATCCGGGGCCAGCCTGGACAGCCACCTGCACCGGATGATGCACAGGGACTCAACCATCAGCAACGAGGTGATGGGCAGCTGGCCTCGGGGAGCCGGGGGCTGGGGTCTGCTTCATTGGGCTGTTCTAAGAGTGGTAAAGGCTGGGGACCTGGGGCCTGGTGACAGTCTCACCCCTGACTTTTTCTTTAAGACGGGGGTGACTTTGGAATCAGACCTGAGTTCAAACTCTAGTCCCACCATTTTACGGTTCTGGGGTGTCCTACCAGTACCTTTTCTTCTGGGCCTAGTTTTCTGCATCGGTAAAATGGGAATAACCAGGTGTAGAGGAGGTTTGTGTACAGCCCGGACAAGACAATGTGTATAAAGTGCCCAGCACATGCCTAACTCTCTCTGGTCCAGCAAATGCTTGTTGAGTATCTACTATGTGCAGGTACTATTGGGAACATCCTGGGATATCAGGAATGTTCCAGTGACCCAGACAGACTTGTCTGACCTCCCAGAACCTCAAGTTTAACAGCCCAAAGTAGGAGCTCGGAAAAAAGTTAATTCGTGGCCTGGCACAGTGGCTCACACCTGTAATCCCAGCACTTTGAGAGGCCGAGGCAGGTGGATCACCCGAGGCCAGGAGTGTGAGACCAGACTGCCCAACACGGTGAAACCCTGTCTCTACTAAAAATATAAAAATTAGCCAAGTGCCTGTAATCCCAGCTACTTGGGAGGCTGAGGCAAGAGAATCACTTGAACCCAGGAAGTGGAGGTTGCAGTGAGCTGAGATTGCGCCACTGCACTCCAGCCTGGGCAATAAGAGCCAAACTCCAGCTCAAAAAAAAAAGTTAATTCTCTTCACCAGTGATTGTATCAGTCATCAGTTGCCACAGTAACAGTGAGTAACAACCAACCACCAAAAATCAATGTGGGTCAGCTGGGAAGTTCTGTTCTTAACTGGGCTGCGTGAGGCTTATTCTGGCACTAGCTGCTTATAACTGGTCAACTGTAAATGCCAATTGATTGGGCTCTCTTATTTGTCTGGGGTGACTCAGCTGTGCTCCATGTGCCTCACTGCCCGGCAGGTTAACCCAGCCATGCTCTCATAGTGAAAGCAGATGCCATAGAGAGAAAGCGACCACGAGGTGGTCGGGGGCGCGGGGTGGGGGGTGCACATTAAGCCTCTGCTGAGTCAAGTTTGCTAACATCCCATTGACAAAAGCAAGCCACATGGCCAAGTCTAGTGTCAGAGTAGGCACAGACTATGAGGTTATAGGGCAGAACCATGTATACAGGGATCAGGTAAAAAAAAAAAAAATGGAGCCATGAATAGAACCAGTCACTCTGTGAGTTGAACTAAAATATTGGCCAGAAGTCTCAATTACAGAGCAGTTAAAGGTGGGGTGCTCTAGTTGCAGAGGTGAGAGGTGGGATCCCAGAGGTCAAAGTGGTCTCTGAGGAGGTTCCAGGAAGCAGAGAGTGGTCCCCCCTTTCATTTTACAGCTAGGAAGCTGATACTGTGAGAGAGGACTTGTGCAAGTTAGGGATAGAGATGAAACTAGACTTCCTAGCTCCCAGCCCCGCCGTCCTTCTGCTCTGGGCAGGGTGCAACCTCACCCTCCCTCCCTCCTGCTCCTTTTCAGTCCTCTCAGAGCTACAGTTCGGGCCACCAGAACATCCGCCTACACAGTGACTCCAGCAGCAGCACACAGGTGAGCTTGCGGAGTCCCCGCCTCCTCCCATCCATGTCTCTCCCTTCCGCCTGGGGTCATGGGGATTGGGTGTCCATCATGTGCAGGTCACTTTTTGCTTGATTTGTTTTAGCTTTTTGTATTGGCATTAAACATCTTTTTTTTTTTTTTTAGTAATGAAAGAAATGTATGGGTCTGTCACCCTGTAAAACACTAAACATTGCAGAGAAAGTCGAGCCTGCTTTGATCATCCTTAATCTCTGCCTGCCCTCCCTTGAAATAACACCACTGTCGTCAGTTTGCAGTGTTTCTTTCAAAACCTTCTGTATGACTGTACAGACACAGAAATACGTAGATAATATATAGCAATGTTTGGCAAATTTTTTTAAAATGTGGACATAAATGCCATCCTATATGTTGTTCCAGCCTGGGCAACAGAGCGAGACTCCATCTGAAATAAATAAATACACATATACATACATAAAGATAAAATTATGTACACATGGTAAAAGTCTATATGATGAAAAGTTACGGTCTCCCCTTATTTTCATTCCCTATTACCCCTCCTCAGAGTAAACTGCAGGTAGGGCGTGGTGGCTCATGCCTGTAATCTCAGCACTTTGGGAGGCCTAGGTGGGCAGATCACTTGAGGTCGGGAGTTTGAGACCAGCCTGGTTAATGTGGTGGACCCCCATCTCTACTGAAAATTCAAAAATTAGCTGGGCATGGTGGTGGATGCCTGTAATTCCAGCTACTTGGGAAGATGAGGCAGGAGAATCGCTTAAACCTGGGAGGTGGTGGTTGCAGTGAGCTGAGATGGTGCCACTGCACTCTAACCTGGGTGACTCAGTCAGACTCCATCTCAAAACAAAACAAAACAGAGTCAACTGCAGTATTTTCTTATTTCTTTCTAGATTATTCTATGCATACACAAGCACATGGGTCACTTTTGTATTGTCGTTTGAGATGGCGTCTCACTCCCATCACGCAGGCTGGAGTGCTGTGACACAGTCTCAGCTCACTGAAGCCTTGATTCCCTGGGCTCAGGTGATTCTTCCACCTCAGCCCCCCAAGTAGCTGAGGTGTACACCACCACACCAAAATACCACACTAATTTTTTTGGTATTTTTTGCAGAGACCGGATTTCACCACATTGCCCAGGCTGGTATCGAACTCCTGGCCTCAAGCAGTCCGCCTCCCTCAGCCTCCCAAAGTGCTGGGATTGCAGACATGAGCCACCATGCACAGCCTAGATCACTTTCTTATTTGTCACACATGGGAGCATATCTTACACCTTGTTTTGCCTCACTCTTTTCACTGGCTGTGTGATATTCCACTGCATGCTTGAGCCGTATTTAAGCCGATCACCTGTTGTTGGATATTTAGGTTGCTGCTGTAAGTAGTGCTGCCGTGGACATGTTGGTCCATCTGTTTTTGTGCACCTTGTCCTCAGGTGTTTGAGTCTGTGGATGAGGTGGAGCAGGTAGAGGCTGAAGGCAGATTGGAGGAGAAACAGCCCAAGATCCCCAATGGGAACCTAGTGAACGGCACTTGTTCCCCAGACTCGGGTCATCCTTCTTCGCATAACTTCTCTTCGGGCTTCTCAGAGCACTCAGAGCCCAGTCTGAGCACAGAAGACAGTGTCCTGGATGCCCAGCGGAACACCCCCCCAGTGCTGCGACCTGGGGATGGCAGTGTGGATGACAGACAGAGCAGCGAGGCCACCACATCCCAGGATGAGGCCCCCCGGGAGGAGCTGGCCGTGCAGGACAGCCTGGAGAGCGACCTCCTGGCCAACGAGAGCATGGACGAGTTCATGTCCATCACGGGGAGCATGGACGTGGCCCTGCCTGAAAAGGACAGTGTCGTGATGGAGAGCTGGAGGGGCAGTGAGGCAGAGAAACGTGGCCAGGCGGACAGCGAGGACAACCTCTCGGAGGAGCCTGAGATGGAGAGTCTCTTCCCTGCCCTGGCTTCTCTGGCTGTGACTACTTCTGCCAACGAGGTGTCCCCCGTGTCTTCCAGCGGCGTCACCTACTCTGTAAGTCACCAGAACCCTCCATTCCATTTCCTTCTTTCTAGCTGCAGGAGGGACGGATGTACTACAAGCCGGTTATCCAGAATGACCCAGGAGTCAGACCTCTGCTTCCTTGCATTTCTTTTTCCATTGTGGAGCATTCACTGTAGAAATCCATTTGGGAGAGAAGAGAATATAGTATTTTTAAAAGGCGGGCTTTGCTGTCAACAGTGCTGGGCTCAAATCCCACCTTCAGCAGGTCACTTTATGCTTCTGAGCCTCAGCTGTCCTATATGTCTCTTACTTCCTTTTCTGAGTGGTTTTAGAATGAATGAGTAAAGTCCGGCGTGCCTGCTGCATAGTAAGCACTCAGTCAGCAGCAGCCCAGTTCCTTGTAAATACTCAAATTTGCTTTCTTACCAGAAAGACTAAGCCAAAGGATGTCATTTGAAAGGAAGGATTGTATTCATTTATTTTTTAAAAGAACTTGTTATTTCTTTCAAAGATAGGCAAGCCCATCCAGGGTCAAACACTTAGAAAAGGCTGAATATAAAACCCAGAAGATACCTGCTCCATCGCACCCCATTTAACCCTCCCCAGAAGCAATTACATTTACTTACTCTGCCCACATTATCTGGTGTTGACCCCATGTCTCTGACACACTGGCATTGCTGCTTCTTGAAAATTTTTTCTTTCGGTTTTAGACTTTTTCTAGTGACTCCTACTATGAAAGAGGATGATGGCCGGGCACGGTGGCTCAGGCCTGTAATCCCATCACTTTGGGATGCCAAGGTGGGCGGATCATGAGGTCAACAGATCGAGACCATCCTGGTCAACATGGTGAAACCCCGTCTCTGGTATAAATACAAAAAACTTAGCCAGGCATGGTGGCACGCACCTGTGGTCCCAGCTACTCAGGAGGCTGAGGTGGAAGAATCGCTTGAACCCAGGAGGCGGAGGTTGCAGTGAGCCGAGATTGTGCCACTGCACTCCAGCCTGGCGACAGAGCAAGACTCCGTCTCAAAAGAAAAAGGATGGTTTAGTTCCCATTTCCTCCCAACCCCCAGCTCTCACCACATGTGACCCCTTCCCATTCCTATCCTTCTAATATAGTTATGTAATGATTTAAATGTATATAGTGTTATCATATTTTATGCATATACTGTAAATGTCAGTGCTTGCATTTTATTTATTTATTTATTTAGAAACGGCGTCTTGGTCTGTTGCCAGGGTGGAGTGCAGTGGTGGGATCTCAGCTCACTGCAACCTCTGCCTCCCAGATTCAAGCAATTCTCCGGCCTCAGCTTCCCAAGTAGCTGGGATTGCAAGTGCATGCCACCACACCCAGCTAATTTTTTGTATTTTTAGTAGAGACAGGGTTTCACCATGTTGGCCAGGATGGTCTTGATCTGTTGACCTCATGATTGCCTTCCTCAGCCTCCCAAAGTGCTAGGATTATAGGCGTGAGCCACCGCGCCCAGCCACTTGCATTATTTTAACAATATAGTACATAAGCCGTGCAGTAAACTGTTCTAATTTTTGTCTTTCCTGCAAAAAAAACCAGAATCGTTTTTCCAGATGCGTTTTTATTTTCCCGTTTGCTTTTTCTTAGTTTGCTGCATATTTAAAATCAATTCACCCCCAGAAGTCTTTACCATTTTCCTAAATCTCTTTTCAAACATTCAGGCTCATCAGGTTTTCTGTTTGTTCTGTGTGTTTAAGGAGTTCTCTCCAAAAAACTCCTGAGGCCCTGCGCACCACTGCACTGGTGTCATCATTCACCGTCTTCCTCCATCCTTGTCTCGAGCTGCCTTTTGTATCGCTCATGTTTTCCTTTCTCTTAGACTCCTCTTTGGTTTAGTTGAACCACATGCCTCAGTGGCATCCACATTTTTGCTTTTCATTTCTATTCTACTGTAGGCCTCTAGTCTGGGATAATTGCATTTTTGTATGAAGTTCCTTTAGAATTTCCTTGAGCAGAGTCTCTCATTTGTATTTATCATGAGTTGTATGCATTTCGCCCTCATTCTTGAAAGAGTTCCACTGAATATGCAACTCGAGATTGCGGGGATATTTTCTCAGGACTTCGAAGATACTGTTCCACTGTCTTCCAAGTTCCATTGTTGCTGTTGAGAAGTCAGATGTCCAATTGTCATTCCTTTAAAGATAATCTTTTGTTCTTGGCAACTTTTTTTATTTTTTGAGACAAGGCCTTACTCTGTTGCCCAGGCTGGGGTGCAGTGGCACGATCTCAGCTCACTGGCAACTTCTATCTCCCAGATTCAGGCAGTTCTCCTGCCTCAGCCTCCCAAGTAGCTGGGATGACAGGTGTGTGCCGCCACACTCAGCTAATTTTTGTATTTTTAGTACTGGTAGTATTTTGCCATGTTGGTGAGACTGGTCTCAAACTCCAGACCTCAGGAGATCTGCCTGCCTCAGCTTCCCAAAGTGCTGGGATTACAGGCATTAACCACTGTTCCTGACCCCTTTGGCTACTTTTAAGATTTTTTTTTTTGGTCTTGTGTGCAATTATGTGTCTAAGTATGGGTTTCTTTTCCTTAAATGTTTCTTATTTTCTTGCCGTATCATCGAGCCATTTCAAAACTAAGGTTATTGTTCAAGGCAGCCAGGCCAGTGCATTAGCAGAATTTGACCTTTGTTCCGTTATTCCATTCCCCTTGTCTGGTGTTCAGCAGGGAGAGTTTCATTTCCAGCTATAGTAGTAACTCTCTCAGGGAGAATTTTCATACTGCAAATTAAAAGACCCTCTGGCTGGGCGCAGTGGTTCACGCCTGTAATCCCAACACTTTGGGAGGCCGAGGCGGGCAGGTCATGAGGTCAAGAGATCGAGACCATCCTGGCTGACATGGTGAAACCCCATCTCTACTAAAATACAAAAATTAGCTGGGCGTGGTGGCACACGCCTGTAGTCCTAGCTACTTGGGAGGCTGAGGCAGGAGAATCGCTTGAACCCAGGAGGTGGATGTAGAGATTGCGCCACTGCATTCCAGCCTGGTGGCACTGTGAGACTCTGTCTCAAAAAAAAAGAAACAAAAACCAAAAAACCACCCTCTCAGAAAACAAACAAAATCAAACATCTAACTAGTCCAGGTGGGAGATGTATTTCTAGTGACAACAGGAGAAGGTTAGGAGGAGGAAATAGGATTGCTGCCTCCCCGTGGGGAGTCAGATGTAATTTCTCATTTCTTCTCCTCATCCCCCGCCCTGGTGGCCTATAGCCAGAGCTGCTGGACCTGTACACGGTGAACCTGCACCGCATCGAGAAGGATGTGCAGAGGTGCGACCGCAACTACTGGTACTTCACGCCCGCCAACTTGGAGAAGCTGCGTAACATCATGTGCAGGTGGCTGGTGGGAGCGAGGGGATCTCGGGGATGGGATGGGGGGGTGGGGGAGATGGGGACACAGGGGGCTCACCTAGAAGTTATTTCAGCTTCTGAAGTTGGCATCATTCTCACCTAGAATCTTATTTTAGCCCACAATGAAAATTTAATAACAATAAAAATATAGGACATTTATTAAGCACTTACTGTATACCAGCCACTGTCCTGAGTCCTATACTATCATCACTCACTTATTCCTCAACCCTTCTAGGTGAGTATTAACCCCTTTTATAGGGGACGTTGTGGAGGCTCCAGGAAGAGCCTCACTGCTGAGTGGGCATTGGGCAATGGCTGAGCGGGAACTCAGCTGCGACTCTCTGGCTCTCGAATCTGTTCTTTTTCTTTTTTTTTCTTTAAGCCAAGATCTAAGATGGCTTATTACTGTTCACTAAAAAGATATTATTCCTGTAATCCCAGCATTTTGGGAGGCTGACGTGGGAGGATCACTTGAGGCCATTTGAGTTCCTCACAGACTTCAAAAAAGTAGAGACCGGCTTGGGCAACATAGTGAGACTGTATCACTACAAAATATTTTTTTTTCTAAAAAAAACTCAACATTTAGCTGGACATAGTGGCATGCACCTGTAGTCCTAGATACTTGGGAGGTGGAGGCAGGAGGATAGCTGGAGCCCAGAGTCAGAGGGTTGCAATGAGCTATGATTGTACCATTGTACAGTCGCACCACTGTACTCCAGCCTGGGTGACAGAGTGAGACCCCATCTCTAAAACATTAATGAAAAATTATTGTTGATATTTCTAAACATGTAAAAGTAACACACACTTGTTAAAAATCTAAATCACGGCCAGAGTGATGGCTCACACCTATAATCCCAGCACTTTGGGAGGCCGAGGCGGGCGGATCACCTGAGGTCAGGAGTTTGAGACCAGCCTGACCAATATGGTGAAACCCCGTCTCTAGTAAAAATACAAAAATTAGCTGGACATGGTGTCACGCACCATGTAATCCCAGCTATTCAGGAGGCTGAGTCAGGAGAATTGCTTGAACCCAGGAGGTGGAGGTTGCAGTAAGCTGCAATCATGGCATTGCACTCCAGCCTGGGAGACAGAGTGAGACTCTGTCTTAAAAAAATAAAAATAAAAAATCTAAATCAGTCACAATTCTAATTCCTGCACTTTGGGAGGCCAAGACAGGAAGATCGCTTGAGGTCAGCAGTTTGAGACCAGCCTGGGCAACAGAATAAGACCCCATTTCTACAAAAGTTTTAATAAATTAGCCAGGCATGATGGTGTGTGCCTGTAGTCCCAGCTACCTTGGGAGGCTGAGGCGGCAGGGTGGCTTGAGCCTGGGAGGTTGAGGCTGCAATGAACTGTGATCACACCACTGCACTCCAGCCTGGGCAGTCGAAGAAATTAGAAGTTCATAAGATAGAAAGAGAAACTTCTCCTTGAATCTCTGCCCATCAGTGCCACTTACCCAGAATTAATGACTCCTAACAATTTAGTAATAGCTAATGGATTGTATATTGTATAATATAATATGAATGTACTTTTTTTTTGAGACAGTCTTGTTCTGTCGCCAGGCACCAGGCTGGAGTGCAGTAGCGCGATCTTGGCTCACTGCAACCTCTGCCTCCCATATTCAAGCAATTCACCTGCCTCAGCCTCCCGAGTAGCTGGGACTACAGGCACATGCCACCATGCCTAGCTAATTTTTGTATTTTTTGGTAGAGACAGGGTTTCACCATGTTGGCCAGGGTGTTTTCGATCTCTTGACCTCATAATCCACCCGCCTTGGCCTCCCAAAGTGCTGGGATTACAGGCATGAGCCACTGTGCCCGGCCTACTTTTTTTTTTTTTTTTTTTTAATGGAGACGGAGTCTTGCTCTGTCACCCGGGCTGGAGTACAGTGGTGCTATCTTGGCTCATTGCAACCTCTGCCTCCTGGGTTCTAGCAGTTCTCCTATCTCAGCCTCCCTAGCAGCTGGTATTACAGCCACATGCTGCCACACCCAGCTAATTTTTTGTGTTTTAGTAGAGAGGGGGTTTCACCATGTTGCCCAGGCTGGTCTCAAACTTCTGAGCTCAGGCAGTCGGCCCGCCTCAGCATCCCAAAGTGCTAGGATTACTAGCACGAGCCATCGTACCTGGCCTGAATGTAGCCTAACTTTTAAATGTTTTAAACTGTGATATAGACTGATAAGTGTTATATCATTTTAATGTAACACTTAAAAAGGGCTAGGAAGAAGTAAAAATGAACTGACTTCTCCCTGGTTAAGGCATAAGGAGAAATCCTGGAAGACTTCACAGAGGTGGTGACCTTTTGAGGTGGATTTTGACAAAGTTAAGAAAACTAACGAAACCATAGGCCAGGCACAGTGGCTCATGCCTGTAATTATAGCACTTTGGGAAACTAAGGTCAGGAGTTCAAGACCAGCCTGGCCAACATGGTGAAACCCTGTCTCTACTAAAAATACAAAAATTAGCCAGACATGGTGACACACACCTGTAATCCCTGCTACTTGGGAGGTTGAGGCAGGAGATTCACTTGAACCCAGGAGGTGGAGGTTCCAGTGGGCCAAGATAGTGCCATTGCACTCCAGCCTGGGCAACAAGAGTGAAACTCTGTCTCAACAAAACAAAACAAAAAAAAAGAAAAAGAAAACTAAATAAACCGTTTAGCATAGAGGCTAAGATCATATATCCTTGCGTAAGGCCTCCTAGGTTCAAATACTGCGTCTGCCACTTATTATTAGGTGTATGATTTGGGGCATGTCATTTGTCTGTCTATGCTTCAGTCCCTCATCTGTGAAATGGGATAATAATGGTCCATATTTAACATGACTAGTTTGAAAATAGTGGGTTGAGTATACAGTAAGGGCTCAGTAAATATAAGCTGTTATTAGCAAGGGGAAGATTGGAATTCCTGACAAAGGGAGCTGTAGGGGAAAGGTACAGAGACATACATCTGGGATTTATTTATACAAAGTGAATATGTCAACGTAGCTGGAGAGGAAGACAGTGAGAAGTGATGTTCGAGGATGTGAAGATGGGTTGGGAGGAGGTTGTTACTCCTTGTACCCCCAGGAAAGGAGTCTGGGTAACATCCCCGCAGACAGCAGGGTGCTTGTGCAAGTTCTGAGCCTAAAGAGGCCTCCTTGAGTTACCCTGTGACTACACATAGGGTATTTGAAGAGAGAGACTGGGGATAGGGATGCAGGCAGGAGGCCGAGGAATTGGGGACTGAAGGGGCAGGAGTGGAAAGGGGAGTGGGTTGGAGAGGCTGCCATCACTGGCCCCTTGTGTCTCTTCTAGTTACATCTGGCAGCACATTGAGATTGGCTATGTCCAAGGCATGTGTGATCTTCTGGCTCCACTGCTGGTCATTCTGGATGACGGTGAGTATGTCCTTACTGCCTCAGGGCTGGGGGTGTGTTTCCTTTCCACTGCGTGGCAGAGGGGTTAACCTCACTTTGTGACTCCATGGACTGTGGCTCCAGCCAGGTGCTCTGAAGGCCTGTCTGGTGAACCCATCAAGATCCCAGTGAAATAAAAAGTCCTTTTGTTCCGTGGTGCCCCATACTCAACACCCAGACAGGCCTTCGCTAGCCACTGATTGTATGAACCTGAATGAGAACAAACAGCAAACCCAGACGGCTTCACCGGTGAATTCGATGAAGCATTTAAAGAAGAATCAATGTCAGTTCTTCACGAACTCTTCAAAAAAGTAGAAAAGCAAGGAACCCTTCTTAACTCATTCTATAAAGCCAGACCTCATATGAGGACTGGGTGTCTCACTAGCACCCAGACACCAACACCAGACAAAGACATAACAAGAAAACTACAGACCAGTGTCCTTCATGAATGCAAATGCAGGCATTCTCAACAAAATACCAGTAAACTTAAGCCTCCAAGATTTAAAACATATTATATGCCATGACCAAGTAGGGTTTATCTCCAGAATGCAAGGGTGATTTGACATGCAAAAATCAATCAATTTAATTCACCGCATTACCAAAATAAAGAGAAAAACCCACACAATCATCTTAATTGGCACAAAAAAACAAAACAAAATGCAACACCCTTTCATTATAAAAACATTCGGGCAGGGCGCGGTGGCTCACGCCTGTAATGCCAGCACTTTGGGAGGCCGAGGCGGGTGGATCACGAGGTCAGGAAATCGAGACCATCCTGGTCAACAAGGTGAAACCCGTCTCTACTAAAAATACAAAAAAATTAGCTGGGCATGGTGGCGCGTGCCTGTAATTCCAGCTACTCAGGAGGCTGAGGCAGGAGAATTGCCTGAACCCAAGAGGTGGAGGTCGCAGTGAGCCGAGATTGCGCCATTGCACTCCAGCCTGGGTAACAAGAGCGAAACTCCATCTCAAAAAAAAAAAAAAAATCAACAAACTAGGTATAGAAGGGAGAAGGGAAGTAAACGTGATAGAGGGCAAATATCATCAGGCTCAATGGTGAAAAACGGACACTTCCTAAGAGCAGAAACAAGACAAGTGTGTCTACTTTTGCCCCCTTAGGTTCAAGCCAGGGCAATTAAGAGAGAAGGAGAAGTCAGAGTAATTCAGATTGGAAAGAAAGTAACACTATCTCTGTTCACAGATCATATGATTTTGCATATAGATCTTAAGTAATAAAAAAAAATTAGAAGTGATGAACAAGTTTGTCAAAGTGGCATCTGCTTCTGGTGAGGTCCTCAGAAAACTTCCAGTCATGGTGGACAGTGAAAGGGAGCCAGCATGTCACATGGCGAGAGAGGGAGCAAGAGAGAGAGGGAAGAAGTGCCAGGCTCTTTTAAACAACCAGATCTCCTGTGAACACCATAGAGTGAGAATTCACTCGTTACTGCGAGGACAGCAGCAAGCCATTCGTGAGGCAAACACTTTCCACGAGCTGCACCTCCAACATTGGAGGTCATATTTCAACATCAGAATCGGAGGGGACAGACATCTAAGCCGTATCACTTGGGCAGCAGGGTAGCTGACTTTTCTGTGCTGCTTTCTCAGAGGCCCTTGCCTTCAGCTGCTTCACGGAACTCATGAAGAGGATGAACCAGAACTTCCCCCACGGAGGTGCCATGGACACGCACTTTGCAAACATGAGGTCGTTGATCCAGGTATGACTCAGTGTCCAGTTCTGCTTTGGACATTTTGGGGAAACAGTAAAGTTAAGTGGCTTCAGACTGAACTATTTACAGCCAACAGACTCTCACTCTGTTGCCAGGCTAGAGTACAGTGGCACAGTCTCAGCTCACTGCAACCTCTACCTCCCAGGTTCAAGCTGTTCTCCTGCCTCAGCCTCCCGAGTAGCTGGGATAACAGGCACATACCACCATGCCCAGCTAATTTTTGTATTTTTAGTAGAGATGAGGTTTCACCATGTTGGCCAGGATGGTCTCAGTCTCCTGACCTTGTGATCCACCCACCTCAGCCTCTCAAAGTGCTGAAATTGCAGGTATGACCCGCCGCACCTGGCCTCTTCTATATATATACATATATTAAAAAATATATATATATACGTATATATATATATTTGGCTCATTTGGATTGTGAAATGCCTATTCATATGCTTTGCCGATTTTATATGTACATTTTTTCCATCATTAGTGTCATTTTTTTAGATACTTTTCTTTTCGTACATTCTTTTTCAAACATGCTTTTTCTCCTCACTGAATAGCATATCCGATAGCTGGAGGTGTTCTTCCACCATCTGTTTTCTTACAACGGTTTTGTTAAAATACAATTTAGATAAGTAAAATTCACCATTTTGAAGTGTATGATTGAGTGGCTTTTAGGATATTCACAGAGTTATGCAACCATCACCAATTTGAGAACATTTTCATTACCCCAGAAGGAAACTCTTCACCCACTATCAGCCACTCCCCGTCCCCTCTGTCTCCCCAGCCCCTGAAAACCCAATCAGCTACTTACTGTTTCTATGGGTTTGCTGTTTCTAAACATTTCATATAAACTGAATCATATAATAAGTGGCCTTTTGTGACTGGCCTCTTTGACCTAGCATATTGATGTCAAGGTTCACCATGTGTGAATGATGCATTGTAGCATATATCAAAACTTAGTTCGAGGCTGGGTGCCGTGGCTCACGCCTGTAATCCCAGCACTTTGGGAGGCCAAGGCAGGTGGATCACCTGAGGTCAGGAGTTCAAGACATGGTGAAACCTTGTCTCTACTAAAATTACAAAAATTAGCCGGGCATGGTGGCAGGCACCTGTAATCCCAGCTACTTAGGAGGCTGAGACGTGAGAATCACTTGAATCCGAGAGGCTGAGGTTGCAGTGAGCTGAGATTGTGCCACTGCACTCCAGCCTGGGCGATAGAGCAAGACTCAGTCTCAAAAACAAGCAAACTTAGTTTGTTTTTATTGCCAGATAATATTAAATTAGATTGTATGGGTGTGCCACTTTTTATTTATTTATTTATTTAAACAACAACGACATGCAAGTTGTTTCCCAGTTGTTGGCTATTAGGAGTAATGCTGTTCCACACATTCATTCATGTACAGATTTTTATGTGGATATGTTTTTGTTTTGTTTTTCTAGACAAGGTCTTACTCTGTCACCCAGGCTGAAGCCAGTGATGTAATCATAGTTCATTGCAGCCTTGAGCTCCTGGGTTCAAGTGATACTCCCTCTTTAGCCTCCTGAGTAGCTTGGACTACATGCCCGTGCCACCATGCCAGGCTAATTTAAAAAAATTTTTTTTGTAGAGATAGGGTCTTGCTATGTTGCCCAGGCTGGTCTCAAACTCCTGGCCTCAAGTGATCCTCTTGCCTTGGCCTCCCAAAATGCTAAGCCACCACATTCTTCTTGGGGATACACCTAAGAGTGGAATTGCTACATCATATGGAAATTCTTTGTTTACGTTTCTGAGTTTCTGCCAAACTGTTTTCCACAGCAGGCACACCATTTTACATTCTCAGGAGCGGTGTATGGGGGTTCCAGTTTCTCTGCATCCTTGCTAACACTTGTTATTGTCTGTCATTTTGAATTTTAACTATCCTAGTTAGTGTGAATTGGTATCTTGTTGTGTGTTTTTTTTTCTTTTTTTGAGACGGAGTCTTGCTCTATTGCCCAGGCTGGAGTGCAGTGGCGCGGTCTTGGCTCACTGCAACCTTTGCCTCTCAGGTTCAAGCAATTCTCCTGTCTCAGCCTCCTGAGTAGCTGGGATTACAGGTGCCCACCACCACTCCCAGCTAATTTTTGTGTTTTTAATAGAGACGGGGTTTCACCATGTTGGCCAGGCTGGTCTTGAACTCGTGACCTTGTGATCCGCTTGCCTGTGCTTCCAAATTGCTGGGATTACAGGTGTGAGCCACCAGGCCCGTCCTTGTTGTGGTTTTGATTTGCATTTTCCTAAGGACTAAGGATGTTGAGCATCTTTCCTGTGCTTCTTGGCCATTGGTGAATCTTTGAAGAAATGTAGGATCCAGCCCTACAGGGTCATGAGGTGTCCCCTATAGCTGTGCCGAGGCACTGGATCCGAGAAGTAAAGAGACAAGACACCAGATGACTGGATAAGCGCAGCTGGGCTAGGGGTCAACGCCACTTGTAAGCAGACAGGCGAGGCCCCAAGCATCCAAGCACATCTGTATTTATTAGATATAGGTCAGGAGGAAGGATAGTGAGTGAGGTCATCTTAAGATAGTGATAGGGTGAAGACAGTTATGTAAGCGATAAGCAAAGGGCCCACCTCCATTAGGTCATTGAGGCAAGGAGGTGGGCAGTGTGCGGTAAGGAGGGTGCAGTGTGCAACATGTCTTATCTAGGGGCAGGCAACTTCTAAGGATTTCTATTGAGGAGTCTTCCAAGGGTTTCCGTGGGAGGAGTCTTCCAAGGGTTTCCGTGGGGGGAGTCTTCCAAGGGTTTCTTCTAAGGATTTCTATGGGAGGAGTCTTCTAAGGATTTCTGTGGGAGGAGTCTTCTAAGGATTTCTGTGGGAGGAGTCTTCTAAGGATTTCTATGGGAGGAGTCTTCTAAGGATTTCTATGGGAGGAGTCTTTGAGACAGCATAGTTGCAAGTGAGCTGACAGGGTATACGGCCACTTGGGCGCGATTACAACGGAGGGGTTTTAAGCCCTCGGATGTTTGCGGGATTGCCAGCCTGAGGCCAGCCTTCCACAAGAACTGGACACAAGATACTACAACTCCCTTGCAGGAGGAGGGACTCTTGCTCCAAGCCTGCCATACAGCGGGTAGCTTTATACTGAACACTGCCACCTGGGCTGGCCTGCCTTTCAGGCATGGGCACCACCACCTGGGCCATTGATTCTTGTCCCGATATGGCTTTTTCCCTAGTGCATGCTCTGTGCCATGTCTGCTCTAGATACTCCTCTGACTACAAACTAAAATATGATTATATATATAAAAGGAAATAAATGAGCAGTAAGTTCTTCAGGCACTAATTGTGCCGGGGGTCTGCTTAGCTTTCCTTCCTCAGTGCCCAGGAAGGGGGTTACCCACAGAGAAATGACTATTCAGATCCTTTCCCATTTTTGAAACTACACCTGGCTCTTTTTTTTTTTAAGTGAAGTCTCACTCTGTTGCCCAGGCTGAAGTGTAGTGGCATGATCTTGGCTCTCTGCAGTCTCCACCTCCTGGGTTCAAGCACTTCTGCCTCAGCCTCCTGAGTATCTGGGATTACAGGTGCATGCCACCACACCCTGCTAATTTTTTGTTTTTTTTGAGATGGAGTTTCACTCTTGTTACCCAGGCTGGAGTGCAATGGCGCAATCTCAGCTCACCGAAACCTGTCTCCTGGGTTCAGGCAATTCTCCTGCCTCAGCCTCCTGAGTAGCTGGGATTACAGGCACGTGCCACCATGCCCAGCTAATTTTTTGTATTTTTAGCAGAGATGGGGTTTCACCATGTTGACCAGGGTGGTCTCGATCTCTTGACCTCGTGATCCACCTGCCTCGGCCTCCCAAAGTGCTGGGATTACAGGCGTGAGCCACTGCGCCCGGCCTACTTTTTTATATTTTTGGTAGAGATGGGGTTTCATCATGTTGGCCAGGCTGGTCTCAAACTCTGGACCTTGCGGTCCACCTGCCTCAGCCTCCCAAAGTTCTGGGACTACAGGCATGAGCCACCGTGCCTGGCCTACTGCACCTGGCTGGTAAGGGCTATGTGGAGTCTGGTGTGCCAATGTACCACCATTTATTCGGCTGTCTCCTCTGCTCCAACCTTTTCCCCAGAGGCTGATGCTGCCTTTCCTTCCTTGACAGATCCTGGACTCAGAGTTGTTCGAGTTGATGCATCAGAACGGGGACTACACTCACTTCTACTTCTGCTACCGCTGGTTCCTGCTGGATTTCAAGCGAGGTACAGACTTTAAACTGGGGACCTGTCTCCAGACTCTTGGTAGCAGAACTTTCAGGGGGAAGGATCCCGTGGAGATGAGGTTGAGGGGTTTGCAGCAGAGGCAGCAGAGGAGAGAAGCACACATTACGGAGTGTAGACTGTTGCTTTGCCTGCCTTATCCTGCACTGGCACTCTGCAGCAGGTGCTGTTAAGATCTTCATCTTACCAGTGAGGAAACCGAGGCTGAGAAGGGTTAACTTCAGAGTTAGGGTGAGTACAGCCAGGATCTGAACCCACCTCTTCCATTCGTATCAGAGCCCAAGAACTCTAAAGCCCATGAGGCAGGGTTTATTTCATGCATGTTTCCAACATGACTTAAAAGTGATATATAACACAGTACCTTGTTGCTATTGTTCAGATTTGGGGTGATGTTAGTAATTATAATAATATCTGACATGGGCCAGACTCAGTGTGGCTCACGCCTGTAATCCCAGCACTTTGGGAAGCGAAGGCCAGAGGATCATGAGGTCAGAAGATCAAGACCATCCTGGCTAACACAGTGAAACCCTGTCTCTACTAAAAATACAAAAAATTAGCCAGGTGTGGCAGCACACACCTGTAGTCCCAGCTACTCAGGAGGCTGAGGCAGGAGAATCACTTGAACTTGGGAGGCAGAGGTTGCAGTGAGCTGAGATGGCACCACTGCACTTCAGCCCAGGCAACAGAGACTCGTCTCAAAAAAAAAAGGCCAGGCGCTGTGGCTCATGCCTGTAAGCCCAGCACTTTGGGAGGCCGAGGCAGGCGAATCACGAGGTTAGGAGTTTGACACCGGCCTGGCTAATATGGTGAAACCCCATCTCTACCAAAAATACAAAAATCTTAGTGTAGTAACAGGTGCCTGTAGTCCCAGCTACTCAGGAGGCTGAAGCAGGAGAATGGCTTGAACCCAAAAGGCAGAGGCTGCAGGGAGCTGAGATTGAGCCACTGCATTCCTGCTTAGGCGACAGAATGAGACTGTCTCCAAAAAAAAAAAAACTCTGACATGTATGGTGTTTTAGTGCCATGCACTGTGCTGAGTCATTTATATGTATTATCTCTTTAGTCTTTTTCTACTATCAGCTTCACCCCACTTATAGATGAGGAAGAGAGGCTCATGGAGAAGTAGAACCCCAGGGTCCCCTTGCCAGCAAGTGATGTTGGAAGGATTCACACCAAGTTTATCGGACATAGGAAGGCTTGCTTTTAACCATCACTCTGTTCTATCTCTTCACTAGGCTCAGAAACCACAGCAGCCTCTGCCAATGTGTAGGGGAAAGGAGAGAGGCCCCCAGGGGTACTAATGGAGATTGGGGTGCAGGGATAGCAGGTGTTGCTGGTTGAAGGGGCAGGGAAAGGACAGATCCGTATAATTCAAACCTGCACACGCCTGGTTCCTCCACTCACAGAATGTCAGAGCCAGAAGGAACTTAGCCCTCACCTGGTTCACACAGCCCATCCTACAGATGGGGAAAACTGAGGTTTCTGGTGGTCAAATGACAGAGTCCAGGTCTCCTGCCTTTTGACCTGAGTTCTGTCCACTGCACCAGGTCAGAGGCATAAGGCAAAACTTGCCCGGGATTTTCCCAGAGGGGCTTCCCAAGGGAGGGCCACGCTGTGAGCCCCGTCGCCAGTTCTCTCCCCACGCGCGTCGGTATCTTGGCAGAACTCGTCTATGATGATGTCTTCCTGGTCTGGGAGACCATCTGGGCAGCCAAACACGTCTCCTCTGCACACTACGTCCTGTTCATCGCGCTGGCTCTGGTGGAAGTCTACCGCGACATCATTTTGGAGAACAACATGGATTTCACAGACATCATCAAATTCTTTAACGGTACCCACGTGACTGTGGCCTCATGAGAGGGGTGCAGGCTTCTGCAGGCCCCTTCTGGGGGTCTCAGGAGGCATGAGAATGGGCTGAGATGGATGTATGGTAAAGGGAATAAAGAGGGCTCTGCCCACTTCTTATGGCTGTTCCCAGAAAAACAAGTTGACATCTTGCTGAGGGTGCATTTTTCTCAGGGGTCTGGCAGAGGGAGCATGGGTGTTGCAATCAGCTCAGGGGCAAAGCCTGGTTCTACTGCTGACCAGCTGTGTCCATGGATAGGTCACTTCCCCCTGGGTAAACATCTGCTTCCTCATCTGTGAAATGGGGCAGCAGTGTCTGCTTTGGAGGGTTGACGTGCACAGGAAAAGCAGGCCCAGGACAGCAATTGAAGTAACACAAAAAAGACACAGCCTTTGAAATCAGACAGATGTGAATTCTGATCCAGGCTCTTGGGAGCTGTGTGACTTTGTCCAAGTAACTTCACGTCTCTAGGCCTCGGATTCTTCAGGAATAAAATGGTACTAACGCTCCCTCACTCACAGGGAGGCCCAGAGGATTACATGAGAAAGCGCGGTTAAATCCCAGCATGCGGTACCTGCTGACCTGAGGGAACTAATAATTGAAAGTTATTGCCACTGTTATCACGATTTATTATTATTTTTTTTAATGAAAGAAAGTTCTGGAAAAAATACCAATTGTGACCTCACTTTTAAAACATTAGTAGGGTTTCCACTTTAAACTTTTTTTGGAAGTTAATTCTGCATTTTAGTTGTCTACTGAAATTGTAGATTTAGAACTGTTTTAGATTTAAGATAGCAGAGAGAATGCATCATACCTCAGTCTAGCTCTGCCTACTGTTAGCATTTTACGTGATCCAGGTACATTTGTCAAAACTAAGAAATTATTGGCCCGGCACTGTGGCTCACACGTGTAATCCCAGCACTTTGGGAGGCCGAAGTGGGCGGATCACGAGGTCTCAAGAGATCGATACCATCCTGGCCAACATGGTGAAACCCTGTCTCTACTAAAAATATAAAAATTAGCTGGCCATGGTGTTGTATGCCTGTAATCCCAGCTACTTGGGAGGCTGAGGCAGGAGAATCACTTGAACCCAGGAGGTTGCAGTGAGCCGAGATCGCACCCCTGCACTCCAGCCTGGTGACAGAGTGAGACTCTGTCTAAAAAGAAAACAACAAAAATTAGCCAGGCATGGTGGCACACACCTGTAGTCCCAGCTACTTGGGAGGCCGAGGCAGGAGAATCACTTGAACCTGGGAGGCAGAGGTTGCAGTGAGCTGAGATGGCACCACCGCACTCCAGCCTCGGTGACAAAGCGAGACTTTGTCTGAAAAAAAATTAAAAATCATAACAGCAGCTCAGGCCGAAAGTTTCATTTAGTAAGTAGTTAGGGCCAAAGCACTGAACAAATATTTATATCCTGACAACTTAGAAGCCATTGAAAAAATAATACATATTTATCTAAAGAAAATAACATTTTCACTTCATTCCTAAATAAGCAGAATTGCTGATGGAGTGTGTGCACCTGCTGGGCTTTGGGCACCTTCTCAGGCCTCAGAAGGAGATTGGACACCACCCCTTTCCTTTTCTGTTCCATAGTGATTTTCACATGGCACTTGCTTTCTATTGCAGCTGCTGCTGAAAACCTAGCTTTGCAAAATCCGGAAGTCATTGATGGGATGCTGGGCACAGTGACCCACGTTTGTAATCTCAGCTTTTTGGGAGGCCAAGGCAGGCAGATTACTTGAGGCCAGGAGTTCCAGACCAGCCTGGCCAAGGTGGTGAAAGCCTGTCTCTACTAAAAATGCAAAAATTAGCCGAGCATTGTGGTGCACACCAGTAATCCCAGCTACTCAGGAGGCTGAGGCATGAGAATCACTTGAGCTTGGGAGGTGGAGGTTACAGTGAGCCGAGATCACGCCACTGCACACTCCAGCGTGACCAACAGAGTGAGACCTTGTCTCAAAAGAAAAAAAAGCAAGTTATTAATGGGAGCGTAGCGAAATTTGTGAACTCACTCCAGCTAACAGTTGACATGGCACTCAACTTAGGTGGAGTGTTGCTGCGCTTCCCTCAGAATATCCAGATACTCCACAGTGCCCCTGTGAGTTCACTGTGATACGCTGGGGTACCTCAGTGCCCAGTTTGGGAACCATGTGTTAGTTTTAGTGTTTTTTTTTTTTTCTCCTTGTTTTCTTTGTACTAAATGGTTTGTTTATGATAAATGTCTAAGTTTAGGATTATTCTGGTTTAGAGGGCTGACCACGTTGTGTGGATCTTGATAAAATTTTTTTGGTTTGTTTTCTTTGTCCTTTTTTCTTCTTCCATCTCCATTTTTCCTCCTTCTGCTGCTTCCTCCTTTTCTTTTCTTTTCTTTTTTTTTTTTTTTTGAGACGGAGTCTCGCTCTGTGGCCAGGCTGGAGTGCAGTGGCGTGATCTTGGCTCACTGAAACCTCTGCCTCCCGGCCTCAAGCAATTCTGCTTCAGCCTCCCAAGTAGCTGGGACCACAGGTGTGCACCACCATGCCCGGCTAATTTTTCTATTTTTAGTAGAGACGGGGTTTTACCATATTGGCCAGGATAGTCTCGATTTCTTGATCTCATGATCTGCCTGCCTCGGTCTCCCAAAGTGCTGGGATTACAGGCATGAGCACCGTGCCCAGCCTGCTTTTCATATCTTTCAGCATCTGCTGTGTGCTCAGCACTGCTTTCAGTCATTTTGCTTATAGGAGGTTTAGAAGGACCTCACCTTTTTATGGCACATCTGTGAACCAGCATTATCCCATTCAATCCCCACAGTAATTTGGTGAGGCGGCTGCTGTTCCAATCCCCATTTTACAGATGAGGAAACTGAGGTCCAGAGGTATCAGCATTCTCCAGGGTCTCTGCTTCCTGAGTCAGTCTGTGATGAAGATGCCTCCCAAGAAGCTCCAGGGGCTGGAAGTGTGCCCTAAGACTGGACACAGAAGGAGGCTTATGAGATTTTTCCTTCTGCCCTTTCAGAAATGGCCGAGCGACACAACACCAAGCAAGTCCTAAAGCTGGCGCGGGACCTCGTGTACAAGGTGCAGACTCTGATCGAGAACAAGTGAGGGGCGCCTCACCCAGGCAGCCTCCGCCTAGCTGCCACCTGTTCCTCTGCTTCCTTTTCCTCCTGGCGGGACGGCCACCCCAGGAGCGGGGTCCTGGTGTCTGTTCACAAGCATGGACTTCAGTCCAAAAAGAAACTACCCTGACTTTCACTTCTGGGCAGATGGGGTGGAGGGAGTACCCCTTCAATTCAGCCTTATGTTTTCCTGTTTGACCAAAGATTGCCCAAGTCTGGCGTTCCCCACTTACAGGAGGTGGGGCTTGGTGGTGGGGGAGGAAGCATCTTTGTTTTTCTGATGTCCAGAATGACCTCTTCTTTTCCTATCCCTCCAAACCGTCTTGTGAGATGAGACCTGGGAGGGCATTTCTTTTTGGAAATCAATGTAGAAGAGGTCTGTGGGGCGGCCTCTATGCTGCTTTGCAAGGGGCCTTTGGAGATGTTCTGGCCATGCTAAAGATTGACTTAGAGATCGACCCTCCACCTCCACATTGCTGATATTTGGGGCCAGGTGATTCTTTTTGAGGGGACTGTCCCCTGCATTGGAGGATGCTGAGCAGCATTTCTGGCATCACCAGATGCCAGTAGCATCATTCCCTACCCACACCCCCGGTTGTGACAACCCCCAAAAATGTCTAGACATTGCCAAGTGTTCCCTGCAGGCAAAATTGGCCCCATTTGAGAATCACTGACTTGGAGGAGGGGCTACAAAGGTACTTCCTGCCCCATTCTTCTGATGCTAAGCCACCCTGGTCCTGAGGCCTCCCTCACTTTGAAAAGGCACACAGGAGGCCGGGTGCGGTGGCTCACACCTGTAACCCCAGCACTTTGAGAGGCCAAGGTGGGTGGATCATGAAGTCAGAAGTTTGAGACCAGCCTGGTCAATGTAGTGAAACCCTGGCTCTACTAAAAATACAAAAAAAAAAAAAAAAAAAAAATTGGCTGAGTGCGGTGGCTCACGCCTATGATTCCAGCACTTTGGGAGGCTGAGGCAGGTTGATCACGAGGTCAGGAGATCAAGACCATCCTGGCCAAACTCCATCTCTACTAAAAAGACAAAAATTAGCTGGACATTGTGGTGTGTGCCTATAGTCCCAGCTACCTGGGAGGCTGCAATGGGAGAATTGCTTAAACCCAGGAGGCAGAGGTTGCAGTGAGCCGAGATCATACCACTGCATTCCAGCCTGGTGACAGAGTGAGACTCTGTCTCAAAAATATATATATATATATCTGGGCTTGGTGGTGGGCACCCTGTAATCTCAGCTACTTGGGAGGCTGAGACAGGAGAATAGCTTAAACCTGGTAGGCAGAGGCTGCAGTGAGCTGAGATCATGCCACTACACTCCAGCTCGAGTGGCAGTGCAAGATGGTCTCAAAAAAAAGAGCAGGCCCACAGGAGTCCCTCCCTCATCTCTCTTGAGAGTCTCGGATTCCATTTGTTGCATTTTCTCCTTTTCTCTCCTCTGTCTGATGCCAGGGGATACTTCTTTTCTTCTTTTTCAAGAAAAGCATCTCCCCACATAGATGGTGGGACCCAAAAAGTGTCCGTAGGCCTGAGACAGAGCTCTTTGGGATCCTGCTCAGAGCCCCCCCAGGCGGGGCAGAGCCTACATCCTGCTGCCAACTTGCAAGGAGAAACTGCCTCGCCTTCCAAGTATTGGGTCTTGGAAAAGTGTGTGTTTTGTGAAAGCTACTTAGAGAAAAGGGCCACTTTTCTCTAAGTGCGGTTACTCAGAACAAAAGAGGAAAAGGAAGGCAGGGGTCGGCCAGGGTAGAGTGTGGTGTGTGTTTTCCTTGGGGAATCCCTGCTGATGAACTAGATGCAGGGCTGTACTGGGTCTGGGAACAGTCCCCTCCAGGTCTTCACACGAGTGTCACCAAACCACGAACAGACCCGAAGTGAGTTTACTCTGCCTACATCCTTTCGATAGAGCAGTCTTGGTGCTCTTATGTTCTGAGAATGCACCTGGGATCGGAGAAACCCGGCAAGCATCAGAGAGAAAGGCTCTTCCCAAGAGACCTGCCACCTCTATGGTGGTTAAAGAATGACAGCTGGGGTTCTGTAGAGGGGAGAGCATAGGTGAGGTAGCGTGGCGAAGCATTTTCGGAGGGGCATCTCAGTCCTCCAACCCTGAGTACACCGGGACAGATATGCATCCTTGCCTTGTGTGCTTGTGAAGGCTGCTTTCTCCCAGCTGCAGCAACTTGAAGTGCACCTGAACCTCCGGCCTCTGCCCAGCCTCTGGTGCAGGGTGGACAGAGGTCTAGTCAGCCCCTCCTGAAGAGGGCTCCATGGGAGACGCAAGGCTCCAGTAGCCTTCATGGCTCCCAGCTCCTACCCCACTCCAGCAAAGCCGAAACGGGAGATGGCAGCGTTCTGGCTGCCATCAGATTTGCGTCTCCCTGCCCTAGGTACCCCAGTTTCCCAGGACAGGAAGAAATGTGCAAAAGGCCCCTCTGGAGAAAACTGTATTTTGTCATTCAGCTGTTTGCTACAGAGGATGTTATTTTAGCAAGAGCCAGGTCCCAGACCTTCTGATTCCTATTTATTTTTTTAACAGACTAGTCTCAAAGTACAGCACAAAATCTCTTCTCTGCCTTCTCTCGTGATGTTCCAGAGGGCATCCGTGGCTGTGATTTGGCATAAGTTGTATTTATTTGGTTTACTGTGCCTATTTCAGATCTCTGTACGTTGTGTGTGTTTCTGTGTCCTGGATTGGATGCGTGAGAGTTGTTTTGTCCATGGAGTGCACTCTTTTATTCAGTGTGGCCCACATATCTTGTAAGTGTTTGCTGAGGAGTTGTGTCTATATAGAGAGAAAATATATATAAACAGAGAAATATGTGAATCCGTTATTTTTTGTGTCTTTTTTTTTTTTTTTGAAAGAAATGTTTGCTTCTGAAGACTGTGTCCTCTCACTCACACCCTAGTGACCCTACGTGGGGTCAGATTTTTGTGATAGCTGCCTAGCCTTTTCCCAGAAAAGGTGAATCACTCCTGACCTCTTGTATGAGTTGGCTCTTACCACAAGTAGTGCTGCATTACAAATTACCCAAAATGTAGTGGTTTAAAACAGCTATGTATTTAGCTCATCATCCTGTGAGTCAGCAGTCCAGGCTGGGTTCAGCTGGGAGGTTCTTCTGTTCCTCAGCCAGACTTCTTTATGTGTCTGTGATCAGCTGATGTCCAGATAAGCAACTCTGCTTCTGATAGTTGTTGGGCTGTTGGCCAGGGCCATAGGGGAAACTGGATTCTGCACCTCCTGTCCTCCAGCAGGCTAGCTTAGGCTTGTTTACATGGCTATGATGGCAGATCCCAGGAAGGTAAGCAGAAGCATGCACTCTCTCAGTGTCAGCTTGGCTGGCATAAAGTCATTTCTGCCACAGTCTATTGGTCAGAGTAAGTCACATAACTAAGCCCAGATTCAAAGGGTAGGTAAATAGACTGTACTTCCTGATGAGAGTCTTTGGAAAGTGACATTGAAAAGGAGCATGGGCCAGGCACCGTGGCTCACCCCTATAATCCCAGCATTTTGGAAGGCCAAACCAGGAGGATCACCTGAGGCCAAGAATCCAAGACCAGCCTGGACAATGTAATGAGACTACCTCCACACACACACACACACAAAAATTAGCTGGACATGCTAGCATGTGCCTGTGCTCCCAGCTACTCAGGAGGCTGAAGTGGGAGGATCGCTTGAGCCCAAGAGACCGAGGTTGCAGTGAGACATGGTCATGCCACTGCAACTCAGCCTGGGTGACAATGCAAAACTCTGTCTCAAAGAAAGAAAAGGGCATGGATGCAGGCTGGGAGCTAATTGAGGCCATTTTTGCGAAGAGTCTACCACATTTCCAAAGGTCCTGTGCACCACAGGCATTCCCAGTCAGTCAGCTATTTGACATGGGAGCACAGCTCTAAATGAACACTTCCCTGAATCCCGACTGCTGAGCTAGCTCATTTCTCACCTCTGATGCTCCCAAAGACAGTGAGTTCATTTCCCCCACCATCTCTGGGTCTCACTCATGGCTGCCATTCAGAACTATGGTCATCAGGCGGTGAGCACCTTGCACAGATCCCCACCTATATCAGTCTCTAAACATGGACTGAGAAAAACTGGTTTTTGGCTACAGAGGCACAGCCTGATTTGATATCATGAGCACCATCAAAACTTCAGGTTTTAAATTAAAAAAGATTTCTGACTAAGCTAGCAAAGTAGAGGAGTTTCCAGGAGGCATTGGCTGCTTGGGTGTGCTACATCGCTTTCTTGGAAGACTTAGCAGGAGCAAGAATGAAACCCACAGCAGCCAGCAGGTGGAAGCTCTTTTATTTGGGACATATACTTCCTCCTGGGGGAAGCTTCTCAGGGCAAACACTGGTCCTGATGTTGCCACTGTCCCTTGAAACCTCCAGTCTAGTTTCTCTGACTTCAACCTGAACTCCGTCCATTGGACTCTCCTCCTCTTCACTCTTGTTTGCAGCTGCCTGGCATGGCAAGACCTGGGGAGTACTGGGTACCTGTTGCGTGTGCACAGATGCCTGGTCATGTGCACTGCTGGTCTCTCATCATTAGCAATACATTTTATGGGGAAAAAAATCCTAAGAGAACATTTTTGCTTTTGTAAAGGCTTTCCTAAATACACACACTTGGGCTGGGCATGGTGACTCACACCTGTAATCCCAGCACTTTGGGGAGGCCAAGGAGGGCAGATCTCGAGGTCAAGAGATCAAGACCATCCTGGCCAACATGATGAAACCCTGTCTCTACTAAAATACAAAACTAAGCTGGGCATGGTGGTGCGCTCCTGTAATCTCAGCTTCTCAGGAGACTGCGGCAGGATAATCACTTGAACCCGAGAGGCAGAGGTTGCAGTGAGCCAAGATCGTGCCACTGCATTCCAGCCTGGCAACACAGCAAGGCTCTGTCTCAAAAAAACCCCAAAGTTTATTTTGCCAAGGTTGAGGATGTGCCATGATGCCACAGCCTCAGGAAGTCCTGAGGACATGTGCCCAAGGTGGTTGAGACACAGCTTGGTTTTATACATTTTAGAGAGACATGAGACATCAATCAATATATGTAAGAAGTACATTGGTTCATTCTGGAAAGGTGGAACAGCTTGAAGCAAACACAGAAGACTTGAAGCGGGAAGAAGCTTACAGGTCACAGATGGGTGAGACACAAACACTTACATTCTTTTCAGTTTCTGATTGGCCTTTCCAAAGGAGGCAATCAGATATCATCTCTCTCAGTGAGCAGAGGGCTACTTTGAATAGAATTAGAAGCAGGTTTACCCTACGTAATTTCTAGCTTGTGTTTTCCTTAGTGATTTGGGGGTCCACGATATTTTCCTTTCACACCTCTCAGCCTTAGTTTCCACTTCTGCAAAGTGGGGATAATAATTCCTCCTTTGGTTCTGGACTGAGCCTTGGCCTCTCCACCTCATTCACTGGAACCCTCTGCCCCTCAGCATCACTGAGGATGGGGCTGGGAACCCATTTGTCCTAAGTTCCCATCATCTGCCTTTCTCAGGTTCTCAGGTGAGACTTTGAAACTTCAGAGAATGTGGCTGTAGGAGGAGAACTTTGAAAAAGGTGAGCCTTGGGCCCTCGTGGGCTGTGTCTTAGAGAAATTCTGAAATTGGGTGTGATGAGGCCTTCAGTTCTTGACAGGAGCAGCATTTGCAGTGATCTGCATCTGCTTCTGCTGTCAGGAAAGGGCTCCCGGCGCCACATCTTTCTGGCCTCCAAGCCACTGGGCATATTGAGAGCTTGAGCCCAGGATAGGTGTAAACTCTGGAGGAGCACAGTTTGATACTTCGTGAAGTACCAGTTTGGCAATTCATTTCTAAGTCAACTTCAGCAGAATTCAAATGACCATCATCAGGATTGTGGAGACTTTCCATTACACGAGGATGTGATACAGGGACCCTCTGGTGTCTTCCTGGCTTTCTTTTTTCAGATTTGTAGGCACAGTAATTTCCAGGCTTTGTAGGTGCAGGACTCCTTGCAAACAATGAATGCCTCTTGTTTTGATAAAGCAAATATAACACTCCATCTATTGCCAAATAAAGACAACAGAGTCTCTCTGTAACTGATTTAGCTTTATGGGCTGGAGAATCATTCCCTTTGGCATTGCTGAAACAGTGCAAAGAGAAGGTTAAGAAACTTGAGGACCGTAGTGAGACTATTACAGAGAAGAGGGAGCATGTTCCAGGCACCAGGAGGTGATGTGTAGACTGAGTTGGGTTCTACTTGGCGGCTTCCACTTGCCCCTCCTTGTTCTGGGATCTGCCTTAGGCGTAAGGAATCTTCCCACAGGAGACTGGTTTGCCCTGACGCGCTCTGATAACAGTTGAAATGAACCACGTGTCTTCAAGTCCATTTGAACACCTTGTGGTATCTTTCTAGATTTTCTATTACTTTTTTTCTATTCTATTCTGTCTTTAAAAGCTGTCAAGTTGTTCTTATTGTTCGTGCTGAAAGATAAATACTGAGCTACATTCTCTGTGATGTGTGTCTTCAGAATAATAGAATCACTCTTGGGGGTTGTTCATGTATATTCTCGGGTGGGCGTTTCAAGCCAGAAGAGTTTGATTATGATGAGCTGGATGGATGGGGACAGAGGGAACAAATCCAGGTGTTATTTTGCATCTATTACAGAGTCTGACAGACCTGGGTTCAAATCCCAGCTCCGCCACTGATAGGCTATGTGGCCTTGGGCAAGTCATTTTACCTCTCTGAGCCTCAGTTTTCACTTCTGTGAAACTGGGATAAGAAAGACTCCCTTAAAGAGAGAAATGGCCATTGAGTGTTTCTGCCTGCTCAGCATCCTTCCCCACTTCTGGTACTAGCACTCCCCCAGCATCCTTTGGGGAACGCCGACATGCTCCTCCCTGCCCAGCGGTGGACACATGGCCCATTGCAGGCTGATCAGAGGGGATTTATATATACCAAGAGAGGAAACAGAAGTTCACTCTTTCCTCTAGGGCAGGTATGCTAGGAGAGGCCAGCCTAGGGCCACCTATGACCATGTCTCCTGCAGAAAGGAGTCAGGTGTGGCTGGGTCCAGGTGTTCAGATGAAGATTCTAGAGCTCCACCTCTCTCTCTCTCGTGCTTCTGTTCTCCTCCATGCTGGCTTCCACAGAGCCCATGTCCAACTCTGAGTCAAGCTTTCTGACCAGGCTCGATTTGGCAGAAGGGCTCATTTATCCATCTTAAAGCCCAAGGTAGCCACAGAGTGGATGCGGGTCGTTTTTTACGGGAAGATTAGCTGCTACTCCCAAAGAAGAGCAATGTGTCAAAGACAGGAAAACACCAGCAGACTCCTGACAAAGCAAGCAGCATGTGCCAAGCCGTAGAGGTGGGAATATCCCCAACCGGACTGAGGGCCGGGCTGCTACTTCTCGAGGCCCAATAAAGACATGCAGATGAACTGATGAGGAAGAGAGTTTTTTGTTTTTTTTGTTTTTTTTTTGAGACGGAGTTTCACTCTTGTTACCCAGGCTGGAGTGCAATGGCGCAATCTCGGCTCACCGCAACCTCCGCCTCCTGGGTTCAGGCAATTCTCCCGCCTCAGCCTCCTGAGTAGCTGGGATTACAGGCACACGCCACCATGCCCAGCTAATTTTTTGTACTTTTAGTAGAGACAGGTTTCACCAAGGATGGTCTCGATCTCTTGACCTCGTAATCCACCCACCTTGGCCTCCCAAAGTGCTGGGATTATAGGCATGAACCATCGCGCCCGGCCGAGGAAGAGAATTTTTATTTCTGTAACTGGTTACAGGGAGAAGACCTGAAAATTATTGCCAGACCAACTCATATAAAGTTTTTCAGAGCTTTTATACCTTCTAAGTTATATGTCTGTGTAAGTGTGCATTCATCTAATGGCATGAGTGGGCCATGTGCAGTGGTTCATACCTGTAACCCCAGCAGTTTGGGAAGCTGTTTGAGACCAGCCTGGCCAATATGGTGAAACCCATCTCTACTGAAAATACAAAAATATTAGTTGGGCATGGTGGCGCACACCTGTAGTCCCAGCTACTCAGGAGGCTGAGGCATGAGTATGGCTTGAACCCAGGAAGCAGAGGTTGCAGTGAGCTGAGATCACACCATTGCACTCCAGCCTGGGCAACAAGAGCAAAATTCAGTCTCACAAATAAATAAATAAATGATAAATAACTTCTTTTAATCTATAACTAAGGTCTGAGTGTTGAAGACCTTCCTTGGAGCCTCCATGTAAATTTACTTAATCTAAACGGGTCCAAGTAATGGGGTTATCTTATCTCATCTCCTGCTAAATCACAGGGATTTGGGGAATTTCTTCAGACCTCCAATAAACTTGTTTGTGGAGGCCTGGGGAGTTTCTTCAGACCCCCCCCCCCCCCCGATAAAACTTGTTTAATCCTAAATGGTTCCTGTTAAGAATTCCCTCATTGCTTTGTCATGCTTTGAGGCCCTGCTTTGTCATGCTTTGAGGCCCAGGAAAGGCCTAGGCAAAACTCTTGGTGGGCTTTTGTTGCATTCCAGCCCTTGTATAAGGGCACTGGCTTTTAATATTTAACTTAACCCCTCAGTCGGTACTGAAACAGTTGTTACGGAGGCCTGCATTTGGTGAGACCTGACCTGCCGCAGGAAGAGGACTTCTGTGGGCTTGGAAGTTCACCGTGGCTGGAAGGAGAGGCACAGGGTTGGGTGGGTGACAAGAAAGAGCCTGAAGAGAGAGGTTGGAAATGGATTCTAAAGAGTCCCAAGGAACAGTGTAATTTCCACATTAGTGGGATTATTTGCATGAGGGGTGAGACAAGTCCTTAACTTCTTCTCCCATACCCAATATTGGCTCAAAATATTTTTTTATGAGATGGAGTCTCGCTGTGTTGCCCAGGCTGGAGTGCAGTGGCATGATCTCAGCTCACTGCAACCTCTGCCTCCAGGGTTCAAGCAATTCTCCTGCCTCAGCCTCCCAAGTAGCTGGGACTGCAGGTGTGTACCATTACACCTAGCTAATTTTTGTATTTTTAGTAGAGACAGGGTTTCATCATATTGACCAGACTGATCTTGAACTCCTGACCTTGTGATCCACCCACTTCGGCCTCCCAAAGTGCTGGGATTACAGGTGTGAGCCACCACACCTCTGCCCATTGGCTCAAAATCTTGTACATAACAGGCACTCACTAAATATTTAATGAGAAAATAAATAAAATTATCTAGAAAAGGAAAAATTATAAAAAGAGAAGGGAGAGGCTGGGCACCGAGGCTCACGCCTGTAATCCTAGCACTTTGGGAGGCCAAAGAAGGTGGATCACGAGGTCAGGAGTTCAAGACCATTCTGGCTGACATGGTGAAACCCCTTCTCTACTAAAATACAAAAAATTAGCAGGGCATGGTGGCGGGCACCTGTAGTCCCAGCTACTCGGGAGACTGAGGCAGGATAATCACTTGAACCCAGGAGGCAAAGATTGCAGTGAGCCGAGATCATGCCACTGTACTCCACCCTGGGTGACAGAGAAAGACTCTGTCTCAAAAAAAAAAGAAAAAAAGAAGAGAGAATATGCACATGCCCATTAAACAATGTAGCTTTTGAGTGACAGCCATGAACTCAGAATTAGCCTGGGCACTTTTCATAAAGATGCGAAATTCTCAGCACAGTCCTATGAGGTAAAGATTGTAATAGTAGCAGCTAAAGTTTGTTGAACACTATGGGCCGGACATGGTGCAAAGTGCTTTATTTGCCTAGAGTATTTCCAGTGAATTCTCACAGCAACCTTATGAGGTAAGCATGATTGCAACTTTCATTTTCCAGAAGAAAAAACAGTTCCAGAGAGGTAAAGTGGCTTGCCTGAAGTCACACAGCAGGAAGGAGCAAAGGTGGGATTTGAATTTGGCTACATCATGATTTCATAACACTCTGGAGTGTGCTCCTCCCAGGAGATTTGTATTTGTTCATTTCTGGCACTAGGATGATTCTCTTGGTGGCACTGGAGAAGATGATGGTTCTCCCTTGGACCTTGGTTGTGTGGGGCCAGCTGATGATGGACAGGAGTCTGACCAGGACTGCACTGAGGATAGCGGTTATGTAACCCTAACCCAGCTGGCACTTCCCACCGGAGGAGGCTTCGCAGACTTCCTTGACGAATGGAGAGGCCAGGCCGATCAGGAAAACCAACAGACCCACAATCATGGCAGTGACTGGAGATAGCAGGAAGGAAAGCCGATGTGTTGGCCAAGGGGCACCTCGCTAGCCTTCCATCCCGCGACTCATCCACCCTACATCCACCCACCATCCACCCATCCATCTAGCCATTCACCCATTCATTCATTTGCTTATTGATTGGCTCAATCTCTCCTTTTATCCACCCACTCAACTATGCTTCCCACTATCTGTCCATTCACTGATCCATCCATTCAAACCATACTCTTACCCACTTATTTTCTCTATCCTTCTATTGACATATCCATTCACATATCCATCCATCTATTCATTTTCCTACTTAACCACCTGCTTCCACTCATCCATCCACCCACCCATCATCCATCCTCATTCAGTCTACTCATTTTCTTTATCCATCCACTAAAATATCCAGCCATTCATTCATTGTTTATCCATCCACTTACCAACCCACTCATTTATGACATTTCCTAACCCACCATCCATCCATCCACTTGTTTATGGCTCATCTATCCTTTTATCAACTATACCCACTCACTCAACTACACCTCCACTCTTCTTTCCATCTGCTCATCTATCTACTCAACCATGTTTATCTCCACTTATTCTCTCTATCCCTCTGTGCACCTATTTATTTGCTCACCCATTCATCTGTCCATCTGCCTACTTAGCCACCTACCCTACACCCATCCATCCATCCATTCCTCATCCTACATCAACCCAACTATATTCCATCCTATCCATCTTTCCTCCTTCCATCCATCCACCCACCCATCCATTCATCCATCCACTAATATATCCATCTGTGCATCCATCAGTTCATCCATCCACTTACCAACATATTCATCCATTCAGCAGCTTACCCACCCAGCCACGTGTTCATTCATCAAAATTCCACCTAACTGTTAGAGGTGCTGCAGTGGACATTAATGATACCAACGAAATGACTGGATACCTTCTTGCTTCCAAGGCACTCGTAACAGAACTCAGAGGATCCCCTGGCCTCCCTTGCTGCTCTCCAGCCACCCTTGTCTACTTTCAGTTCCCTGCACATGCCTTGCTCTCTTGTTTCCATGCCTTTGTCCTTCGTGTTCCCATTACCAGAAATGACCTTGTACTCTTGGCTAACTGCTGCTTAACCTTCCAGACTCAGCTTAAGTGGCACCTCCTACAAGAAGCTTGCCTTAATCCATCCATACACTGGGTCAGGTGCTTCCTGGAGTTTTTCCCAGCATCCCTTGCTCATCTCCATCATGTAAAACACCACTGATGCCCTTCAACACCCCACCAACTAGACACTGCAAGTAAGCCTAGGACAAGAATCATGTCTTTACCAGTTGATTCAGCAAAGGTTTATTGTGCACCTATTACGTGTAAAGCACTGTGGTAGGGGCTGGTGGTAACAAGACAGACAGACATGTCCTTGTCCTCATGAAGCTGATGTTCTTTGGAGAAAGAGGGACAATAATCAAGTAGGCAGATTAGATATTTTAGGTAAGCATGGACTATGAAAAATATAGGCCGGGCGCGGTGGCTCACACCTGTAATCCCAGCACTTTGGGAGGCCAAGGCGGGCAGATCACAAGGTCAGGAGCTTGAGACCATTTTGGCCAACATGGCGAAACCCCATCTCTACTAAAATACAAAAAGTTAGCCGGGCGTGATGATGCATACCTGTAATCTCAGCTACTCAGAAGGCTGAGGCAGGGGAATTGCTTGAACCCAGGAGGCAGAGGTTACAGTGAGCCGAGATTGCACCACTGCACTCCAGCATGGGCGACAGAGCAAGACTCCGTCTCAAAAAAGAGAAAAGAAAAATATGAAGCAAAGTAAGATGGAGACTTAAAGGAGAGGGAAGCTCCCTTAGCTTCCCTCTTCTTTAAGTCATGGAAGACCTCTTGGAGGCAGTGGTATCTAAGCAGAGCCCATAATGAAATGAGTAGCAAGACCTGCGAAAATCTGGGGAAAGAGAGGTCCAGCAGAGGGAGCAAGTGTGGGGCTGATGAGCAACAAATTGCAGGTCAGAGTAGCCAGAGCACACTGAGACTGGCAGAGGAAGAAAGATGAGGTTGGTAAGGGATCGGGGGCTGGGGGAGGTGGAGCCTGGGCTACAGTAAGCAGCTCAGATTCTACTCTGAGTGTGATGGGGAAGTGACTGGAGGGTGGATAAGCCAGCCTGAGTGGCACGATCTGATGTCAGCTGAACAGGACTCGTTTGTCCAGTGTGTGGCCAAATCGACACTGAGGGGGAACAGTGAGAACAGTGAGACCAGTGAGGGGCTTATTGCTGTAATCCAGGCAAGAGATGGGGGAGAATTAATTGAATGAGGATTGCAATGAAGACCAGGCTAGTACATTCAAAAATTATGTATGAATTAGAGAAAAGTAATTTCATCTTCTCAAGAGATGCAGACTTGCAGGTTCGCAGTTTAGCAAGTGAAGCATGGGCTAGATTTCGGCATGGTCTCAGTTCACAGCTGGGCATGGTTGCACAGTGCCCAACATCCTCAACTGTGTATGGTGGACCTGGTAAGGATGACACGAAGTGGATGGATGAGCGAGAAATGAAGGGGGACAGATTATTAAGAATGGGTCAGCTAAGAGCAGGAATCAGTGGCACTAAGGATGCCATCTCTCCTTCTCCCTGATTTCTGGCTTACCAAAGGACCAGGGATAGTCAACAGTCCTCGGGTTAATCTCTGAGATCTGACTCAAGAGACCAGGCTCTGCTCACAGATCATTTATTCATTCATTCCATAAATATGTTTAGAGTACTGACTATGTGCCTGTACACTGGATTTACCTGCCACTGCCTGTACCCCTGGCATTGGACCACTGCTTCCCCGTGGGCACAGCCCTTTAGGGGCCACAACCCAGGACAGGAGGAAAATTGCATTGAAGGCCAGCAGGAGCCAGCTTCCAAGGAGCATCACAGCTGAGACCTGCAGGGAAGAGATAGAAGGAAGGGTGTTGGCTGGGACAGGGGCAGGTGGGCACTCCCTCTGCTCACTGACCAGCTTCTGAGTCCTCTCAGCATCCCCACATGGTCTGTGCTACTATGATCTCCATTTTACACAGAAACTGTTGAAGAAAATAAATTGTCCAATAAAAGTGCAAGAAATTGAAGTCATTTGCTTCGAGTTATGGCTAATTAAGTGGTAGAGCCAGAATTAAGTTCCACATTGACTGACCAGCACATGGCAGCTTTATTAAGCAATTGCTACATGTGAGGATCATCAGGAGAGGCACCTGGTGGCTGCTGTTAACTCACCCTTAGAACGATCAACTTTGAAGGCTGCATATTCTTCCTTAGAGGTGCTGGACTAGGAGTCCTTTCCAATTCTCTCCATTGTTGATTTTTGCAACACGTGTTATAACAGGGGCTTTTAACACCTTAGCTATCTTTCTCTTTCTTTTCTTTTTTTGACAGAGTTTCACTGTCACACAGGTTGGAGTGCAGTGGTACAATCTCAGCTCACTCCAACCTCTACCTCCCAAGTTCAAGCGATTGCCATGCCTCAGCTTCCTGAGTAGCTGGACTACAGGCATGCACCACCATGCCCAGCTAATTTTTTGTGTTTTAGTAGAGATAGGGTTTCACCATGTTGGCCAGGATGGTCTCAATCTTCCAGCCTCGTGATCTGCCCGCCTCAGCCTCCCAAAGTGCTGGGATTACAGGCGTGAGCCACCATGCCTGGCCAGCTTTTATTTGTAAACCTAGCAGTGTTTAGAGGGTGGCTAGGTAAGAGTGTGCAGGTTGTATACCTCTCATACATGTTGGGGACTGTCATATATTTGCAAACTGATTATGGTGACTTTCCAGCAGATGGCAGTAGAGCGTCCTAAAGAAGGGATGCCTTTTCCTAAATTGCAGGCAGGAATCTTGACTGGCAGCGGCCTTTGGAATCATCCTGCATGTTTGCTGAATTATCAGTAGCTGGACCTCACTCCACGCCTACAGAGACAGGGGATCCAAGCATAGCACAGATCTTGGCATTTTTGCAAAGTTCCACAGGTGTTTCTGAAGGGCTGTCAGGTTTATGAATCTCAGCCGGGCACGGTGGCTCACGCCTGTGGCCCCAGCATTTTGGGAGGCTGAGGCGGGTGGATCACGAGGTCGGGAGATCCAGACCATCCTGGTCAACGTGGTGAAACCCTGTCTCTACTAAAAAAAATACAAAAAATTAGCTGGGCATGGTGGCGTGTGCCTGTAATCCCAGCTGCTCAGGAGGCTGAGGCGGGAGAATTGCCTGAACCCAGGAGGCGGAGATTGCGGTGAGCTGAGATTGCACTTCAGCCTGTGTAACAACAGGGAAACTCTGTCTCAAAAAAAAAAAAAAAAAAAGACTCTCTGTGCTCAGTTCTAAGGAGAGTAATGGCAAATTCATAGGTACTGGGACACCCAGGCAGTGAGGAAAGCCTCCTTGAATTCCACTCAGTCAACTTTGCTGCCCTGCTGAGTTTAACCGAGCCCCTGAAGACCCAGTGACTCGGTGAGCCAGGTCTCACCTTCCAGGCAAAGTCAGGAATGTCCTCCAGGGAACTGAAGGTCATTCAGCTTTGGTTCCAGCTGTTGCCCTGAGGCCAGGAGCAGTAGGTGAGGATGCCAAAGGAGAAGGTCGGGGTCTGGAAGCAGGCAGGGGAGATGAGGCTGAGGGCCAAGATGCAGGTCAGAGAGAGCCCCAGAGCTGCCCACACGCTGCTCAACATTAGGAAGTATTGCTGACCTAGGGATCAGTGTTGAAGATTACTGGTGGAGACTGCAGGGACAAGGAGAGAAGCGAGCAGGCAGAGGTGCTCCCTAGCCAGGGATCTCGTGCTATGATCAGATCACAGATAATCAGCCCCCCTTGAGACTGGCGATGCAATGGGAGGTACTAATAACTGTGGTCTGGTCGTGGGGGTTATTTTGCCCTAACAAATTCTAGAAGTCCAACCCCCGAGTCCTAGAATAAATGTAAGCCCTTACAGACCTTTGAACATTTGCCCCTCCACCTTCCACATGGTGCATCATCCTCACTGGTCCATGCAGGGCTCTTCTGATATTTCATTCATACTTTCATTTGTTCATTTGTACATTCATTCAATTTATCCATTCTTTCTGCTTCTACCCAAATGGGGCACCTTTTAAAAATTCATACGCATATGCCCTGCCCTCCCTTCTTTCCTTCCTTCCTTCCTTCCTTCCTTCCTTCCTTCCTTCCTTCCTTCCTTCCTTCCTTCTTTCCTTCCCTTTTTTTTGAGACAAACTCTTGCTCTGTCCCCAGGCGCCAGGCTGGTGTGCAGTGGTGCGATCTCGGCTCACTGCAACCTCCACCTTCTGGGTTCAAGCAATTCTCCTGCCTCAGCCTCCTGAGTAGCTGGGACTACAGGCATGTGCCACCATGCCCAACTAAATTTTTTTATTTTTTAGTAGAGATGGGATTTCACCATGTTGGCCAGGATGGTCTCGATCTCTTGACCTTGTCATCCACCTGCCTTGTCCTCCCAATACAGGTGTGAGCCATCATGCCCAGCCCCTTCCTTCCTTTTTTAAGAGAAAGGCCTTGCTCTGTTGCCCAGGCTGGAGTGCAGTGGCATGATCATAGCTCACTGCTGCCTCAAACTCCGAGGCTCAAGCTATCATCCTACCTCAGCCTGCTGAGTAGCTGGGACTACTGGGGCACACCATCATGTCCAGCTAATTTTCATTGATTTTTATTTTTTGCAAAGACATGCCATCACATGTGGCTAATTAGAAATATTTTTTCTTTTTTGTGGAAACAGCGTCTCCCTATATTGCCCAGGCTGGCCTCAAGCAACACAGATGCTGTTTACAGCAGCCACCCTGTTTTTGAAATTTTATTTTTTTAATGTATGTCATTTTGTGTGGAGATTTTGCAAAATTGGTGTGGTGCTATAATGCATGCATTTCTCATTGCTATAGATGGTATTATCTTTTTTTTTTTTTAGATTGAGCCTCTCTCTGTCGCCCAGGCTGGAGTGCAGTGGCACCATGTCGGCTCACTGCAACCTCTGCTTCCCAGTTTGAAGCGATTCTCCTGCCTCAGCCTTCCAGTACCTGGGACTACAGGTGCGTGCCATGACATCTGGCTAATTTTTGTATTTTTAGTAGAGATGGGGTCTCACTGCATTGGCCAGGCTGGCAGATGGTATTATCTTATGTACTGCATTCTGCCTCCTACTTTTGGACTGAAGCACCATGGTTTTAGATGGATTCACGTTGCCATAGGTATACCTGTTCTACTTGTCTTGGTCTGGGTTCCTTTGAAGCAGATCCCAAGGGCCTCATTCCCTAATATCATCACCTTGGGGGATAGGGTTTCAACATATAAATTTTTTTTTTTGAGATGGAATCTCGCTGTGTTGCCCATGCTGGAGGGCAGTGGTGCCATCTCAGCTCACTGCAACTTCGGCCTCCTGGGTTCAAGCGATTCTCCTTCCTTAGCCTCCCAAGTAGGTGGGACTACAGGCCCCGCGCCACCATGACCAGCTAATTTTTTTATATTTTTAGTAGAGATGGAGTTTCGCTGTGTTAGCCAGTTTGGTCTCGATCTCCTGACCTTGTGATCCACCAGCCTTGGCCTCCCAAAGGGCTGGTATTACAGGCATGAGCCACTGCCCCAGCCAGGATTTCAACATATAAATTTTGGGTGGACACAAATATTCAGTCCATAGTAAGACTCTAGTGAGAATCTGTGAATGTGGTTTGATTTTGCTTATATTTGTTATTCTTTGGGTGGGGGCATGGTTTTCCAAGGAAATTAAAAATTTTTTTTTTTTTTGAGAAGGAGTTTCGCTCATTACCCAGGCTGGAGTGTAATGATGCGATCTTGGCTCACTGCAACCTCCGCCTCCTGGGTTCAGGCAATTCTCCTGCCTCAGCCTCCTGAGTAGCTGGGATTACATCACCACGCCCAGCTAATTTTTGTATTTTTAGTAGAGACAGGGTTTCACCATGTTGACCAGGATGGTCTCGATCTCTTGACCTCGTGATCCACCCACCTCGGCCTCCAAAAGTGCTGGGATTACAGGCGGGAGCCCCTTAAAATGTATTTTAATAAGAAACATAAAGTCAAGTCTTACTTAAATAATAATAGATGTGGGTTCATGGCGTGGCTGAGGCTGGAAGGTGATTTGCTAGCAAACAGCCAACCCTGCCATTGATGGCCAGAAAGGAAGCCCGGAATGGTGAGCCTGCCCAAGGGCACTCAGGGTCACAAGCCTCTGAGCTGCCAACCAGGCCAAGGACACCTAGGCAGATTTTCCAGGCCACTGCCACACAACCTCGGCTTTCACTTTGGCCATCTAAGCCCAGACACCCACTAAACATGTCAGGAATGCTGGGGTTGGAGGCCAGCCAACCCCTCCACCATATCCCAGATGTGGGACCTGGGGCAAGTGGCTCCATTGCTCTGGGCCTCAGTTTCTCCATTTGTGCGAGAAGGTTATGAACCCCTTAATCTGCACTAGGGACAGATGGTGTTGGGATCAGTCAGTGGGCAGGGTGATATGATGAAAAACGGCGGAGAAGCCCAGATCCTCCCCTTCCCATCTATAGGAGCTTAGGGAGATGGCCCCACCTCTCTGGAAAATGGGAGTGGGGGTTGTTGTAAAGTTTCAAGGGTGTTAAAATACGTGTGTGGGGGGGGTGTGGCAGGGGGAGGGGCAGAGATTAGCCTGGGCAGGTAGGTCTGGGTCAAGTTGCATGGGCTTTTAACTCCAAGATTAGAAAAACCTGGTAGCTGCTCGCCAGCAAGTGAAATGTGCTCCCTCGAGTGAGAGGGGACAGTATTTTTGTCAGGTTGTTGTTTTCCCTACACCAAAATCAGCCTTTCCTTTGGGTCGGCAAGATCCTGAGGGGTGTAATTCCAGCCAGGAAGCTGGGGAGAGCTGAATCCACAGAGGCCTGCGACTACGCCTCCCTCTGGCTGTGCCAGTGGCTCTCCAGGTGTTTCTGACCTTGAAAGGAGTTTTGTTTTCCAGATAAAGCTCAATGTGACCTGGGAAAATCACACCAACCATCCAGGTGCCCAGAAACCTAAATGAGGCATTAAACCCAAAACCACATCCGACCAGGCTGCAATTAGCTGGAATCCACCTAAGGGAAGCTTGAAAGGGACTGAGTGTTTTCTCCTCTGGCTCAGTGGGCTTTTAATAGCAGTCAAGAATTTCTGGGCGCTCACCAGGCTCCAGTCTAAACACTTGCATAGGTAAGCGCTCATTACCTGTAAGCCTTGTGGCCACCGTCACTGCTCCCATTTTACAGATGACAAAACTGAGGCTCAGGAAGTGAGCCACAGAACTGGGACTCATACTTAGGGAATCAGGCTCTGGTTCTGGGCCCTAAACCCAAAGGGATATTAAGGATTTAATTTAAAGGCCAGCTAACCCAGTGGCTTACCAGGGCCGCCCAGGGTGAGGGCACAGAACTCTCCTGCCAGCTCTACCCAGGGAGCAGGGATGGTTCCAAAGAAGCCATAGGAAGCCACAGGCAGAATCTCAGCAGGAGAAATGGGTTTGGGAGTTGCAAGATGGCTGCTATGGACTTGCTATGTCAAGCTAAGTCCTTTTCTTCTTCTGGCTTCATGTTTTTCTCTGTAAACTGGAGGGACTGATCATTCATTAACTTTAATGCGCTCAACTCAATGTGACCCCTTAACCCCATACCCCCAGGATACAGCAGTGAATGGGACACAGTCCCTACCTTCAAGGAGTTTAGAGTTTTATGGGCAAGACAGACGGCTCATCCATTCAACAAATATGGGGTGTCTATGATGTTCCCAGAACCGTTCTAGGTGCTGGGGGGATTTCGCAGTGAGGAAAACAGACGAAGCCCCTCTTTATGGAACTTAGGCTCTGCAGGGAGAGAGAGGGAGGGAGGAAATCAGCAAGTCAATATGTAATATGCTAGATGTCAATAAGTGCCCTAGGGAAAAATGAAGCATTGGAGGGAGATAGCAAGTGACTGGGTGACTGGCGGATGTTCATGAAAGCTGCATGACAAGGTGACCTTTGAACTGGGGCCTGCAGAAGGTGATGGAGGGAGCCAAGTGGAGAGGGGTCAGAGGAATATTCTAGGCAGAGCAGGGAACAGGTGCAAAGGCTCTTGGCACATTTGAGGATGCAGAGGGCCATGTGAATGGGAGAAACGAGGATAGGAAAGAGCGGTGGGCCTTGTAGTAGAGATAAGGTCTTGCTCTGTTGCCCAGGCTGGAGCGCACCGGTGCAGTCACAGCTCACTGCGGTCTCAACCTCCTGGGCTAAAGCAATCCTCCCACCTCAGCTTCCCAAGCAGCTGGGGCTATAGGCGTGTACCACCATGCCTGGCTTTTTTTTTCTTCTTTCTTCTTTTTTTTTTTTTTTTTTTGTAGAGATGAGGTCTCTCTATGTTGTCTAGGCTGGTCTTGAACTCCTGGCTTCAAGGCATCCTGTTTCAGTCTCCCAAAGTTGTGCCTAGTCTGACTTTTAACTTGTGAGTGTGGTAGGTAGGGAGGCTTTGGCCGATCTTTAGCAGGGGAATGACATGAACCATCTTAGATTTTCAAAACCATTCTGGCTCCTGGGTGGAGAACAGGCAGAAGGGAAGGAGGGAGAAACGTTCAGAAGATGACTCTTCAGTCAGACAAGAGACAGAGGTGGATGTGGATGGACATGGAGGTGGGGGTAGCGAAGGCGACAAAAAGTGTTCAGATTCTGATTCTGAAGGGCAAAGGAGGTCAAAGCTGATCAGATTTGCTAAAAAAGTAGACATGGGTGTGAGGGAAAGTGAAGAGGCAAGGATGCCTTCAGGGCTTTTGACCTGGGACGGAG